TACTTTTTTTAATTTCTGAATTCCGCGTAAGGAAACATTCACAGTCTATTGAACCTACTCCTGTCAAATGAGCCAGTTGAAACTGCGCGCCAAAATTAAAATTCGAAGAATAGTGAAAATGTTTTTATTCAATTCAAAATTCGAATTCTCTTTGTTAATATTATAAGAAAAATATGTTATACGAGGGCTACACTGAAAATTTTTAGAACTGGCTACTTGAAAGCAATATAATAAAAAAAAAAAATGAAAATTTTGAAAATGGAACTGTTTACGAATAATACTGAGTATAATTTATTCGTTTATCATTTGTTTTACGGTTTGGCGGCAAATAAAAAATAGTCTGTGTAACGTTATCATGAACTTAACACGAGAAAATTTTCGGGCAGTGATTTTTTAAGACTTTCGATGTCATCTAAGTCAACAAGAAAGTTATGATAGACTACGATTGGCCTTTCACGATGAAGCCCCGTCTCGTGCCACTGTTTACAACTAGTTTAATGAGTTTAAACGTGGTCGCTATAATCTCACCGATGATGTGCGTGAGGGACGGCCTTCTACGGCGACGACTGAAGATAACATCAGTGTTGTGCGGCGTATGATAGAGACTGACAAAAGAGTGACCATATCAGCAGATCCGGGCAAGCTTAGGGATTGGTATGAGTCAAATGCACAAAATCCTCCATGAACATTTGGCGATCAGGAAGTTTTGTGCCCGGTGGATACCTGATAATTTGACCGAGGCTCAAAAAATCCGTCGTGTTGTTTGGTGCCGTGAAATGCATGAAAGAGTTAACGGAGGTGACTCAAATTCTGTGTTTGACATAGTTACGGGAGACGAAACCTGTATTTACTGTTATGATCCCAAAACTAAAAGACAACTTAGTGGGTGTTTCCTTCCGAGGAGTTATACTAAGTGTATTTTTGTAATCGATATGATTTGAAATTTGTTATTCCCATATTAATTATGTGAAAAATAAAATTGCTATTTGTAAAACAAAATTTCCTAGTAGTCACAAGATTGCGCGCTCTGCATTTTTAATGAAATTCAAAGCGTTACGTATACGAAACGGCTCGATGTTTATTGGTACCATACAGGGTTTAAATTTTTGTTTTTTTGAGAGGTAAGAGGTACGAAGGCTCATTTCCTGTTTTCCAGAGCTCCTCATTAAAAGGCGTTTTCTATATATTTTTGTTTTGTTTCAATGTTTTTACGCCATTATTAGCGTGCGTGACGAATATTAATTGACCTCTAAACTCAGTGTCCTTGATGGGTGGCTGACTTGCCATAAAAATATTTACGTCTTCGTTTCCCCTAGGCCTAATAAATCTTCATAAGTATATATGAAGCTAGTATTAATTTTGTGTATAAGGTACACATTGTATCTTGTAGTTTTATGTCTTTAAAGTTGGGTAAAAACTAAGGGTAAATGTATCATATGTTTAATACCCGAGGCTGACAATGTATGAAGATGTTTAGTGGTCGCTGGAGGGCGGGGGGCGCTCGAGGGGGGATTTTTTTTATATACAACTTAAAATGGTAAACAAGCTGACGGCCCACCTGATGGAAAGTGATAACCGTCGCCTATAAACATGAGCAGTACCGTGGACATAACAGAGTATACTGTTTCGCCCATGATACCGCCCATGCGTTGCCATTCCTGAAGACTCTGTTATTCCTCTGTACCCTGTTAATTTACTGCCATATCCCACCCATCAAACCGAAACACAACCATGCAAACACAACTGCTTCATGGTAGAAACACAAATGGGACAGAGGTACCCAAGCAATCGACTTTTGTACAAAGTCTCCCTCTGGTTATTATTAGTAATTGTTTTAAGTTGGTCTTCATTGCTGGTATACAATGTATAATACAGAAATATGGCTTGTTGGGTCGACTCTCGTGCGGTCTCTCCTGGAAAGCATCGTGGTTATTTTTTTATGAATTCGTTAATATGGGTCGACTAATCTCACTTCATCCTCATTTATCATCACCCACTGCCACCATATCCTGATAGCGTAATAAGTAAATAGTAATAGTAACAAATATAATTAGCCGTGTGGTCCCGGCATAGAATAGGCCACCCCTTCCTTTCCCGTGGGTGCCCGGTGGTAATAGGCGACTATGGGTGCTTATAGTGGGGGGGGGGGGGACTTTATATCATCACCAAAAGCCAAACTACGGTTACCAATCCTCCTGCCAAGTCTGGCAACTACGGGCTAAACCCCCCTATGTTCAGCAGTGAACAGTTAACGGCTGTTAAAACAAGTTAAAAAGTTACATGAGAAGACGTAAGACGGGGGGGGGGGGACAAGTTTGTCAGTAATAGGAACTAGGAAGAGAAATGGTCTAAATGATGGCAAGTGGTAAGCACCATAAACATAACTGTAGTACCCATCATATCCCTTAACCTTCACAGTTTGCTTTTCTTGAAAATTAAGTATATTTACTGCCATATTCTTCAAAGCTATACAGTCACGCAAGCAGAATGGTCTGATGCCAGAAATAATAAAACAATAGTGATATTTTGTCGTTTAATTCTCTCTGACTACCTGCAGAGGGCCTATCAGGAAGATAGATAGATTACTGAACTTCTACGTTCTTTAGAACTGTTTTAAATGCACGCTCAATTCTGCTTTATGAAATAAATTTATAACTTTTTTTTTTATACAACTTAGAACGGCAGACTAGCTGACGGCCCACCTGATGGAAAGTGGTAACCGTCGCCTATAGACATGAGCAGTACCATGGACATAACAGAGTATACTGTTTCGCCCATGATACCCCCCATGCGTTGCCATTCCTGAGGACTCAGGTGTTAATCCTCTGCACCCAGTAAATTCACGCCATATCCCACCCTTCAAACCGAAACACAGCCATGCAAACACAACTGCTTCACGGTTGAAACACGAATGGGACAGAGGTACCCAAGCAATCGACTTTTGTACAAAGTCGCCCTCTGGTGTCATCATATCAGCCTTTAACTGCTCACTGCTGAACATAAGCCTCTCCCTGGGGGGTTCTGCCAGTAATTGCCACGCTTGGCAAATGGATTGACAATCGTAGTTAGACTTTGAAGATGTTTTAAGAGAGACGCTGCTGCCCAACCCTCGCCCACCCTTAGTCGCCTCTTACGACATTCACGGGAAAGGAAGGGGTGGCCTATTCTATGTCGGAACACACGTAGATACGTTATATATTGTATTTAAATTAAATTTGTAACAAATTTATTAAATTACGATTAAATATGATATAATTAGTCGTGTATAAACTTAAGTGTAGTTTTCCTTGTTTGAAACATTTTCACAATATTGTACGCCGCTCTACCCACTGACATTGATGCTCCTTTTCACTTTGGATGTTGCTGGAAGAGAACTCTATTAGAGTTAAGCTCGCTTTTGTACATTTACTTACTTCACCAGTTTGTGCAATTAAGTAAAAATACATAAATAATTTATTTTGTATATTAAGTATTGTATTGTATTGAAAATCTTTATTGTACATAACTCAGATTAAACACTGGTAAATGAAATGAAATGAAATGAAATGAATTTATTTTGCTAGAATGCAGGTAATTTTAGATGATAGAGGTTTATATTTCCCGTGTACATTCTGCCTCTATGTCGGCGTGCAAATTTTATCAATATAAGAAATAAATGATTTAATATACAATGGCAATGAAGTATGTAAGTGATGAGTCAAAATGTTTACGTATCTATATATCTATACCGCGTACTCTGAATATAATTATAATGGATACCTGTCCAGGTAAACTATGAGCCATTATAAGTATAGGACAAACTGTCGTTACGTCCCAAGTACGAGCTGTCATCTGGGAAATCGCCGTGGCGTGCTCAGATATCGCCGTGTACCAACTCTTTGTCTCCAGCGAAAGTTTTAATGCCACAGCTCTCCTGGGGGAGTGGCGGTTTGCCGGTATTGAATGTATTTTATGCATATTTTAATAAGGCAAATAGATTCGAATTTTGTGAACGAATTTTTTTTAACTGTCTCCAAAATGTTTCTTAATATTTTCCAGGGGGAACCGCGTGGAGGTCGATCTGGTTAGGTATATTGCTAGCAATGGATGTCTCCATAACTAACAATCCCTTTCCCCTCTACATACATTGTTGGTTTATAGTTATTACTTAGAGAAATAAAAATTTAATAATACAATTTACGTCTAATCATTAAATTTACTATCATTTAAACATTTTTTCTGAGTAATAACCCCAATAATATGAAATAAATAATAATTATCAAGGTACTTATATTTGTCATATTCCTTATAGCAACAAATGTAACAATATTTGTATAAACGTGACTCATAAATGATTAATAATTAAGTCTATCATCATCGTCATCATATCAGCCATTAACTGTCCATTGCTGAATATAAGCCTCCCTTTGGGGGGTTTTGCCAGTAGTTGCCACGCTTGGCAGGCGGGTTGGCAACTGCAGTCAGGTTTTAGAGATGTTTTAAGAGGGACGCTGCTGTTCAACCTTCACTTTCCCTTCGTCGGCTATTACGACACCCAAGGGATAGGAAGGGGTGGCCTATTCTATATTGGCCAATTAAGTCTATACGATTGAGATTATTTACTGAACTAGTTGTTGTCGTGCGAAAGACCTTATCATTGGTTATTTAATTAGAATTATTTTGTTTAATTCCGCTAACATTAGTATGTGTGTGACTGCCAACACTCGAAGACTGACCACCAATATTACTACCAGAAGTTCCACAACCTTCCATATTAATTACCAATCTCCGACTGTCATTTTGTTTAAAAAAAAAGAAGACGTACTGCACCGATTGCAAAGAACAAGAATTATTTTTGTTGAAGTAAATTTGACTGTAAGCATTATTTTGAATAGTCATTTGAATGATTCTACCGTCAATTTCAAAATGCATTTTCAGTTGAGAAGAATGGGCAAGGAACTCATTTGTTATTTGAAATGGAATAAAAAGAATAGATGATAACTTTAGTTTTTTTTTTACAGATATTGGAAAGCAGTTCTCGCAACAGCCTGTGAACACGACAGCAAGGAGTGGACAGCCGGTTGTGTTCAACTGCAACATAAGTTCAGGACCGTCTGCCATGGTCACCTGGATGAGGAATGGAGAACTTCTTCCTGACTACGTAAGCAGAAGGTAAGAGATATTCTAATGGACAGCTTAGAAACAGTGGTATGGAGAGACCATAAGCACAAAGGCATGTATAAATTGTTCCTGTCGACCTGTCTCCACTGTTGTGTAAAGACTAGATTTTTTTCCACCTTAACACAAATAGTAGAGAAACCATTGTATCACCGGAAGGAATAAATGACATAAATGTACCTCTTTTCTCTACCAATAATTTTAAGGTAAGTACAAAAAATTATTTAGGATCTGTGAAATAACAAATTTGATTCGACCGAAAGTTCAGAAAGGATTTATGCGAAGAGTTTTGGGCGTTTTAGGTCGATCCGTACAATCTATTTGGTCCATCCGATTTATATTGAACGTTTAATGTGTTGTAAGCCCTAATCTAAATAAATTTGATTGGAACGATAATTGGAGTTTGGTAAAACAATGCAGAGTTTTATTTTATTTACGGAGTCGAATTAGATCATTTATAAATCCAGATTCTAAATTCAATATTTGACATATTCAGATTTGAAATGTGTTCGGTTAGAAAGATGGCAGTAATTACAGGGTAAGGACTAAAAGTTTTAATCCTTAGGAATGGCAATGCATGAGCAGTATCATGAACATTGCAATATATGACATCCAAACTATTATTGATTATAGGTGAGAGTTACCACTTTCCATTGGGTGAGCTGACAGCTTATTTGCCATTCCATATTTCTATTGCTGCTAATCTATTTTATCTGTTAAATGTTGCTATTATTGTAAACTGAATAACAAATATCTTTTGATTAAATTTAATTTGCAACCAATAATTTCCAGAAAAAAAAGGTTGACTGTAAGAGATCTCTTTATGCTTTTTTTTTATACAACTTAGAATGGCAAACAAGCTGACGGCCCACCTGATGGAAAGTGGTAACCGTCGCCTATAGACATGAGCAGTACCATGGACATAACAGAGTATACTGTTTCGCCCATGATACCCCTCATGCGTTGACATTCCTGAGGACTCAGGTGTTATTCCTCTGTACCCAGTAAATTCACGCCATATCCCACCCTTCAAACCGAAACACAGCCATGCAAACACAACTGCTTCACGGTAGAAACAGGAATGGAAATTGAATGTGATAAGTCCGCCACTGTATAATAAATCTTTTAATGCGATTAATATCAATTATGTACAATAAAGATTTCTTCACAATTACAATTTCCATCACCGTATTTATTTAACTTACAAAATTTTTCTCTATTCGAATTTACAAATTTTGAAGTCTGTAAATCATGGTACAAAACCACTAGGCTAAAACTCTTGCAAAATATTAATTATATATAAAAAAAGTTATTATATTTGTGGTTTTATTTAATTTTTTTTTTATTACAGATCAGTGTTTCTGCCAAATCAATTGCTAATCACGGACGTGAGAGTAGAAGACGAAGGCTTGTACTGGTGATTATCCATTTTTATTTTTTTATCTTCAAAAACTAACCAAGGTATGCGTTTCAGAGCGCATTGAATTATAACATTTGGAAGTATATCTTTGTATTTATGAGAATTATGTTTTTTAACCATAAAGACGGAACCATGTATTTGTCTATGAAAATGGTATATAATAAAGAGACACCAGAGGAAGATAAAAGGTTTAAAATTAACTCGTAAAATTAACATCGTGGTGAATTCTCGAGAAGTTAACTTTGAAGATTTCTAGAAAGAACACAGTAGGTTAGAGTTCTCTTACGTGGTTATATAGACGAGACTTACTCTCTTACGTGAATATGGAAATGAGAGATATTGAGGCTAATTTTGAATGCTTTAAAAGTTGAATATTAAAAGTTAAATATTAGTTGAGTGGCGTGCAAATTGGTACCAAAATCAGTACAAAGTAGACCAAATTGTAGTCTCGCAACTTAAAGATGTCCATGTTGGCGTATTTAAGATCATTTTTCAGGCCTCTTAAAAGGTTTCTCAGACATAAACGTTCAGCATTTTTTTATACCACTGAGGTGACAAATAAGCATAGGATGGTAAGTGGTTACCGTAGCCTATGAACACCTGCAATACCAGAGGTATTACGCACGCGTTGCCGACTCTGAAGAAACCTCTTTACCCGTCTTTTGAAGAACCCCATGCTGTAGTCTCTTGGGAAAACCTCGGCAGAGAACTCATTCTATAATCTGAGTGTTCGTGGGAGGAAACATTAATTAAAAACTTTGCTTCTGTCTTGATGTGGGTGCCAGACAATTTTTAAGATGAACACTGCTCTCCTGGCCTCTCTTAAATGCTCCCATACCTGTCTAGTATTTTGAAGTTTGCAGTAATTTCCTGTGTCTAATGTAGATTATCATGTTTTGTTATTTAGTCTTTAAAAATTCTTCACATCATCACCAGGTGTACAGCTACTAATCCGTTGCTGAACAAGACCCGAACGAGCCGCCCTGCCTGGTTACGAGTGGAGACCACGAGGTCTCCTCTACCTGTATCCCTGCTTCCCGTCTATCATGAGGATTATATTGTGAGGTCTCAAGGAGCCACCGTCACGCTGCCCTGTCCCGTACTTGGATGGCCAAGACCAAAGGTTAACATTATGACTTTATTGGTGTTTCTTCTTTTTTTTGTTTTTTATTTTATATTCTTTATTTATATATAAATATTTTGTGGGTAGTTTTGTTATTTTAATTGTTAATAAATTTATTTTTAACCCCTGCGTGGATGTAGTCGCACATTTCTGTAAAATAAAGTTTTTGTCTTTCTTTCTTTTTTCAATTGCTTAATTTGTAAATTTTTAGTAACATATGTCATATGTATATATATATATATATATATATATATATATACAGAGATTTTTGTCTATTTATAATAATTCACTGTCATCATAAAAGAAACCTAAAAATAAGTAAATATACGGGCGAACTTATTCCAAGCACATTTCAAGAAAGAATGTCCTTTGAAAGATTACTACTTTCCGAGTATGTAATACAATAAGGTTGTATTATATAGATAGAGTATCGAGTCTCAAAAACGGGTCAACTTTTCGTCAGCTAACTGTCAAATTAGCTCACTCGTTTTTTTATTAGTGTTCTATATACTTACGCACGCGACGTATCTTAACGTATTTATATTTAATTATTTAATAAATAAAATGTGTTTTTGTGTTTTAAAAAGGTCTAAAAATTATAAGACAAAATAAGTATAGAAGTTACAAAGGAATCATTCATAATTATTTAGCACGTAAAATTGTATGAAAAAGTTGACCCGCATTTTCTCGAAGCATTTGTATGGAGACACTCTATCTACATAATCTAAAAATACAACATACAAACAACTTGTACTGAAAAATAAAAATGCTGATAACAATGTTTTCGTGAAAATAATTTTATTAGCAGAAAATTATGAGCAGCTTGTTGGTTCTCAGGAATGGGTATTATTAATATTGGATAACACATCACGTATTCCTGAGAAGGCCACATTTACGTATCTAACTGCTATATTGTGACCATTTGTTTCAGATCAACTGGCTGAAAGACGATCAGATTATGTTAGACTCTACTTCCCAGGTTTTGGTTTTAAGGGACATCGAGAGAGGGCACCAAGGAAATTATAAATGCATAGTAAAAGATACTGGTTTTGATAAGGTTTGTAAACGTATTGTACATTCGAAGTGAATTTGCATATAAATACCGATTCGTTTCTATAAATTGACTTCATCATCATCACCATATTAGTCTTTAATTGTCCACTGATGAACAAAGGCTTCTCACTAGCAGGTAAATTGGCAATTGCAGTCAAGCTTTAGAGATGTTTTAGGAGAGACGCTGCTGGCTATATATATCTCACGCTCCTTTAGTTGGCTCTTACGACAACCACGGGATAGGAAGGGGTGGCCTATTCTATGCCGGGACCACACGGCAAATTGACTTACGCACAAAACAATAAAACAAAACAAAAATTTTAAAAAATGTTAAAAATTATGAAAATAGTAAATCAAAGGGCACGACACCCTTGGTGTTCATGTACCGAGATCTTTTTTTTGATAGGTGAAAATCAAATGGTGTTTCTACCTGCATTGTTGGTATACGCTGGCAAGACACCAGTGGGGGATGATAGATGAGGATGAAAGTAAATCAGTTGGTTCATCGTGATGAACTCGACAAGAAGAAATCACGATCATTTTCATGGGAAATTGCGTTGAAATTAACCTGATAAGGTACATTTTAATAATTGGATTGTCAGCTCCTTCTTGTTAGGCAATTCCTTTACCCTCCGTTCCAAGAACTTGCTCTTTTTCTTTTTATGATACCAAGATTTCTACTCTCTTAATTCTATTCTGTTGATAAGTAGTTCATCCATTTTCACAGCCCTTATTGTTGCAGACATTCAACGTAACAGTCGGCGAACCAGTTAACATCACCATCCCCCCCACCCCCAAAGAGGTAGTAAGGGCTACCACAGTGAGGTTCAACTGTACAGCGACAGGAAATCCTAAACCGACAATCACGTGGTACAGAGATGGCAAAGCCTTGCGCATGGGTGGAAGGGTAAGTCTGTTTTTGTAGATGCACTGCCATCATATTTGTTTAAATGCTGAAAATAGTTTGAGAACTCTAACGTTACGCTTACGTTATTAGTTTTGGAACCTTCATTACGTTGTTATGCACAGGATCAATTATTACTGGAAGTGCATTTAGAATAAAAAAGAAATAACAAAATAAGAACACAGAAGAATATTAAAATAAATTACTTTTAATGTGGTGAAAATGAAATTGTAACACCGAGTGCATTATTGGTGTATTCTGGCGAGACATCAGTGAAGGATGATAGATGAAGATAAGACCAGATCAGGTAGCCCATTGTGATGAATTTATTCGGTTTACAGAGGATAGTTTCCAGAGGAAACCTGCAGAGGTTGACCTAATCGGGTATACAGCTGACAATGGGACATTAAACCCAAAGTTAATAATCTCTTTCCCAATATTTACGAATAAATAAGTTGAACAATAAGTGAAATGTCTTTTGTTTGTACCCCCTAAAAATTAGATAAATAGGGCGTAATAGAATATGCATTGAGTTACTTAAATTTTGAGACCACCACTGATTCACGATTTCGCTGCATTTAGCGTTGAAATTTTAATACCTTCTATTTGTTCCAGTTTAATCAAAGGTTGTCGCCTAAAGACGACCGCATGGAGCTGGTTGTCGGTGGTGTCACTTCTGAAGATGCTGGTAATTATCAAATATTTACGTCCATTTCTATTTTAATGACTTGGAATGGTTAACAAGCTGATGGAAAATGTTAACTGTCGGCTATTGATACAAACAGTACTATGGAGATTACAGAACAGAGTATAAAATTGATGGTTTTCGTTATAGGTTGCCGTTCTGAGGACTAAGGGTTACGCCTTCGTAACTAGTAGTAAGATGTATCATAGAGTCATATTTTACTAAGGAAGTTTATGCTGATCTTTGTATAATAGTGGAAGTACCTTACGTATATAATATCTTGGACCTGGTTTGTATTTAGGTTATTTTATGAAACTGAAGAATACGACGGTGGAATATACGAATAATGAATTGACAATTTCTACAGATAAGTAGCAAATCTGGCCCCAAATGGAGTACTTTTCTAATCTGTGGGCCGGACCACCTGGATACCAGCTTGGTCCTTTTGCATCGGTTTAAAGACGGGCTATGAGAATTGCCGATGATCTCAAGTTTACAGCAGTATCGAGCCTTTAAGTCTAAGCCGAAACTTTGCCTACTTTGGCGTGTTCTACTGCTTGTATAACAGATTGCGTTCTGAGGAAAAAAAATGCTGCCCACTGTCACCTTTTAACATCGCATCGCTTGCCATCAATAGGGAATTTATCCTCACACGCATAAATGGTCGCGTACAATAAGGTTTTATAGGAGTTTGCTACATAACATTTAGGCTATTGTGGGAAGAACTTCCTGCCGAGGGGTTTTATAGATAGGTACTATATGGGTTTTCAAAAAAGTATACTAAAGTTTCTTCAGGGTCGGCAACGTCCACGTGACATTTCTAGGCGTTCATAAGCTACAGTGACTGTTTACCTTTAGACGGGCTATATGCTTGCTTGCTACCTTTGTGGTGTAAAAGAGAAGATAACTTTTATTAGGTGGGCTTTTTTTACCCAAATTAGAATGGAAAACGAGCTAACGGCTCACCTGATGAAAAGCGGTAACCATCGCCTATAGACATGAGCAGTATCAAGGACATAACAGAGTATACTGTTTCGTCCATGATACCCTCCATGGGCTACTATGAATGGAATGTCCTGTTTGGCAGGCATGTACCAGTGCTTCGCGCGGAACGCGGTATCGACGGCGTCGTCATGGGCGCTGCTGCACGTGACGGGCGAGAGTGCGCCGTCGCCGGGCGGCGTGGCGTGCTGGCCCACCGGCGCGCGCTCCGTGCTGGTGCGCTGGGCGCGGCCCGACCGGTACAGCGTCGTCGCCTACACCGTGCAGAGCACCGTCGCAGGTGCGTGCACTGCCCACACCGCACAGGTAGCGTCCTCCTGGCGCGGTGATGGCTGACCACTCGGTGCTGGTGCGCTGGGCGCGGCCCGACCGGTACAGCGTCGTCGCCTACACCGTGCAGAGCACCGTCGCAGGTGCGTGCACTGCCCACACCGCACAGGTAGCGTCCTCCTGGCCTGCGAGCGGTGATGGCTGACCACTCGGTGCTGGTGCGCTGGGCGCGGCCCGACCGGTACAGCGTCGTCGCCTACACCGTGCAGAGCACCGTCGCAGGTGCGTGCACTGCCCACACCGCACAGGTAGCGTCCTCCTGGCCTGCGAGCGGTGATGGCTGACCACTCGGTGCTGGTGCGCTGGGCGCGGCCCGACCGGTACAGCGTCGTCGCCTACACCGTGCAGAGCACCGTCGCAGGTGCGTGCACTGCCCACACCGCACAGGTAGCGTCCTCCTGGCCTGCGAGCGGTGATGGCTGACCACTCGGTGCTGGTGCGCTGGGCGCGGCCCGACCGGTACAGCGTCGTCGCCTACACCGTGCAGAGCACCGTCGCAGGTGCGTGCACTGCGCACAGGTAGCGTCCTCCTGGCCTGCGAGCGGTGATGGCTGACCACTCGGTGCTGGTGCGCTGGGCGCGGCCCGACCGGTACAGCGTCGTCGCCTACACCGTGCAGAGCACCGTCGCAGGTGCGTGCACTGCCCACACCGCACAGGTAGCGTCCTCCTGGCCTGCGAGCGGTGATGGCTGACCACTCGGTGCTGGTGCGCTGGGCGCGGCCCGACCGGTACAGCGTCGTCTACACCGTGCAGAGCACCGTCGCAGGTGCGTGCACTGCCCACACCGCACAGGTAGCGTCCTCCTGGCCTGCGAGCGGTGATGGCTGACCACTCGGTGCTGGTGCGCTGGGCGCGGCCCGACCGGTACAGCGTCGTCGCCTACACCGTGCAGAGCACCGTCGCAGGTGCGTGCCGTCCTCCTGGCCTGCGAGCGGTGATGGCTGACCACTCGGTGCTGGTGCGCTGGGCGCGGCCCGACCGGTACAGCGTCGTCGCCTACACCGTGCAGAGCACCGTCGCAGGTGCGTGCAGCCCACACCGCACAGGTAGCGTCCTCCTGGCCTGCGAGCGGTGATGGCTGACCACTCGGTGCTGGTGCGCTGGGCGCGGCCCGACCGGTACAGCGTCGTCGCCTACACCGTGCAGAGCACCGTCGCAGGTGCGTGCACTGCCCACACCGCACAGGTAGCGTCCTCCTGGCCTGCGAGCGGTGATGGCTGACCACTCGGTGCTGGTGCGCTGGGCGCGGCCCGACCGGTACAGCGTCGTCGCCTACACCGTGCAGAGCACCGTCGCAGGTGCGTGCACTGCCCACACCGCACAGGTAGCGTCCTCCTGGCCTGCGAGCGGTGATGGCTGACCACTCGGTGCTGGTGCGCTGGGCGCGGCCCGACCGGTACAGCGTCGTCGCCTACACCGTGCAGAGCACCGTCGCAGGTGCGTGCACTGCCCACACCGCACAGGTAGCGTCCTCCTGGCCTGCGAGCGGTGATGGCTGACCTACATCTATAGGTTTTTAAAGGTTTGTAATAAACCTCTCAACTCCCTGAAGGCAGCGTGATGAAGGCGCACTTTCCACATTTGGGAATGTATAGTGCTGGTTTAACAATTAACGTACTTTACAATATAATACAGCAATTAATTTTTTACTTGTAAATTGACGTTTCCAGTGAAATTTAGGATACTTCTCAACCACGACATACCAAATACAGGTGTAAGTATTCAATAGAATAGAAGTCAAGTTTATTAAATAGACTTGTTTTTAAGTCCTCATTTTTGTATGATTTGAAATTGTATGATTGAAACAAAATTTTAAAGTTTTATTATTTATTGAAAAAAAAACAATAAAAAATTAGTGACTGCTAACCTTTTCAAATTATAAATTAATAAGTCTTATATGAAATTAGTATTTTTTACATGTATTAATGTGTATGTGTATTTATTGTATTAAACTTGGATTATCACTTGTTAATGTAGTTTGCCTCTTTCAGGCGGCACGTCATCACCTGGCCAGCCTCATACCAATACAAAGGAGAACATAACCGTTTCCGAACCGCTAACTCCATACACTTTCCAGGTATGAAATGAGCATATATATTTTTTTGTAATTATTAGATTTGTCAACTATAACGCTGCAATGTGGTACCGACATAGTATGGGCCACTTCGTCCTTTCGCGTGGGTGTCGTAAGAGGCGACTAAGGGTACTTGATAGTCGAGAAATGGGTAGCAGAGTCTGTCTTAAAAAAATCACCAGAACCTAACTACGGTTGCCAACCTGCCTGCCAAGCGTAGCAACTATTGGCAAAACCCATCAACGAGGAATCCTATATTCAGCAGTGGACTTAACAGTCCACTTGACAGCCAATATGAATATTATGTTTCAGAAGATAAACACGGAACCCCTTTAGGTAATATCACATTTATCCGACTGCCTCTTAAAGCCGATTTTCTCAGAAAACGATAAGCGTAGGTTGGAACTTCGTAACTGAAGTATATCTTCAATAATAAGTCACATTTCGCAGTATCCGAAACTTGGGAACGTTAGAAAGGAATTTCTGGGAAATATTAAATTTAGACTAATGAAAAAATTAAGATTTAAAGTTTACATTTCACAAAAGAAAAAGAGATTATATTTACAAACTTTTATAGATTTTGAGGCACTTAACACTCGTTTAATTATTGATTTGATAAACTTAATTTACAATAAATACCTTTTCGGTGGATGTTTCGCCCATGATACCCCCCATGCGTTGCCATTCTTGAGGACTCAGGTGTTACTTCTCTGTACCCTGTAAATTCACGCCATATCCCACGCTTTAAACCGAAACACAGCCATGCAAACACAACTGCTTTACGGTTGAAACACGAATGGGACAGAGGTACCCAAGCAATCGACTTTAGTACAAAGTCTCCCCCTGGTAAAAATGATGATGATGATGTAGCAGGTAACAGATAGATACGTACTTTGAATTACCGCCTTTTATTCTAAAACATGTTAACTGCAATAATTTCCTTAGAGAGTGACTGTAAAATTAGGTTACCTAAATATTATATAGATTCCAGAGAACGCGTATAACAATGGTTTTGCACGTAACCACTTACCTAATAAAGTGAAATTTTAAACGTTACGGAATCACATCGTATGCTGAAAATGGATTTCTGCATACGATGTGAGAATGGAGCAATGGGATTGCAAATTTCCATTACTAACAATCCCTTCTCCCCCCGTTGATAGGTCATTGTGAAGATGATGTTCCTGGAGTTACTATTTGATGTAAATAATTATCATGTCTTCAGGTACGTGCTGTGATACAGGCCACTACAAAGAAGAATATAGCAAGTGATATGTCCGATGGCGTCGTCTGCCAAGGACAAGGAGGTATGTTTATAGATTTAGGTGTACTTAGTTAAGTGCTAGATGGCGTTTGTGTGCCCAAGGTTATTTACTCATTTGATTTATAACTGGGTCTTATCTGTATGTAACAGGAGCCGGTTATTAGTTTTAGCTAGTTTTGTCTTTGGTGTTATGAAGGTTTATAAGCTAATGATAGCCGCTTAATAGCTGTATACCTATAAATAACAGCTAAGTTTCTTGCCTTGTTGTTTTTAGCAGAAATTATATCACGAACTGGGCGGTAAATAAAAAAAAAATTATTCAAAACTGTTTACAATTGGGTTTACTTAAATAAAAAATATTTTTATTTTAAAAGAAATTTTCTCAATGTTCTCTACCCAAAGGTTGTCTGGAAGAGATTGCTTAGCGATAAGGCCGCCTTTTGTATCATTTCTTATTACAGTTAAATGTGTCTACTATTTTATAAATGGTGCAATAAAGTGTACATAAATAAATAAATAAATAAATATTCTAATAACGATATTTTTGAGTTTAAACGAAACAAAACGAAACGAAATTAAATTAAATAAATATTAAATTTATTTGTCAGAAACATTGTAGATAAGATGTTGCTTTTGCCAAGTTTACAAGATGTTCATTATGTTTTGCCACAAATGGCACATCAAATATTATTTTGCTTTCTAATATGTGATAAAATTTACGATGTGATAAAGAACAAATTGTTATTCCATTCCAGTACCAATCCATATGTCACGACCGACTGACGATAAAGTGCAGGTCTCGTGGAGAGACTTCGCCGAGGAGTCACCTGGTATTGTGCAGTGGATTCTCCAGCACAGGCATAAGAACAGCAGCTTAGAAAATAACATCACTCTTGACGGGGACGTCACTAGCTACAGTTTAACTGGTAATTGATTTTAACTGGTTTTCTGCTTAACTGTTAAAAAAATCATAATAATTATTTTTTATTAATTTTGGTCCAATATACCAGACATAGTAAATAGGTAGGTACATACATACATACATCGATACATATTAACAGGAATAACAAATACCACGCAAAGTCGCGGACATCAGGCAGTAAATAAATAAAATACTTTTTTTTATACCACAAAGTCATATATATATTTTTATTTTAAAATAAATATTCTAATAACGATATTTTTGAGTTTAAACGAAATATATCAAAATAAAACGAAACGAAATGAAATTAAATGAAAATTAAATTTATTTGTCAAAAACATTGTAGATAAGATGTTGCATTTGTCAAGCTTACAAGATGCCCAAGAGCGAAAGAGGTTTGTTTGAATCGAAGCATTTGGCGTTCTATTGTTTCTGCCTATCCTAATGGGAGACGAGCGTGACAGATATGTATGTATGTATGAAGACATATATATATCTTCGTACAGTTACCACTTTCCATCTGATAGTTCTCCACTTTGTTTGCCTTACCAAATAGTATGAAAAATATCAATAAGATTAACATACATATTATTTTGTTTGCAGTACCTAAGTCTGAGCCGCTTCTGGTGCGAGTGTTGGGTTCCCGTACACTGGAATGGTTGCCGCAAAATCTGACGATGGTGCCGTGGTCGTCCACTGACAGCCTGGACCATGGGTGAGGTTCCGTTGATATCCAAACATCATTGTACGTTTATAATTGGAATTCGTTGTTGGGAGAGGTTGTTTGTGATATGAGGATACCATGGTCGTTATGGGTCTGTAATCTTCATGACACTGTTCATCTCTCTCTCTTCGTCCTCTTCATTACTGAAGGTCGTGTCCTAGAAAGGTGTCTGTTGCCTCTCTTATGATGTTATTCCATTTTGCACGGTCTTCAGCCTCTCGCAGGGCAGCTGCAATTTACAGTCCTGTAACGGCGGTTACTTGGTCCAACCATCGACTAGGCGATCGTCCGCGTGGTCTTTTTCCCTCTATCTTGCCTACAACCATTAGTTTGTCCAGATTGTTGGACTGTCGTCGAGCAATATGACCGAAGTATCCAAGAATCCTCCGATAGCAGACTGTCGAGAGCCTATCTCTTATGCGGAGTTGCGTCAAGATATATTCCTCCATCCTTCGCTAACACCACATCCCGAGAGCATCAATCTCTTTTCGCTCCTTTGCTCTTATTGTCCATGACTTCACTGTTCATATGTATAAATAAAATCAATACTGCAAAAAAAAAACTAAATTTAATTATGGAAAAATTTGTTTTTTTTTATTTAAAAACTACAGAACCCAATTTGATAAGATTTCTATGAAACCAATCTGTAAATATATCTTTTTAGATAAAAAAAAAAAACTCCAAATCTCGATTGATAACTGACGAAGTTATACAGGGTGAAAAGGATAGGTTGGTCAAAACAAAAACAGCTGATTTAAATGAATGGTCTGAATCTGATGATAGATTATTTTCCACCGAAAAAGTAACACAGCCATAAAATTAAAAATTTTAGTTTTGATACTGCGCAATGTATTTGAAATTTTACGACGTACTGTGTTCTAAGCGACGCGGTATATTTACAGACGCGCGGTCAATTGTGCTTCTTCGTAGGTAGTTTTCGTACGCTCGTGGCGTCGACTTTACACACGTCGCGGTAGATTTTCAATACGAATATTGCATTGCTGTTTTTTGGTATTTCATAATATTTCACTGTAACATATTGTTATTTATTTATATTATGATACAATATTATAGATTACATGATTTAAAATGAAAAAACAAATAGGGGGAAAATTAAATTTTTCGGAAAGAATTTCCACTAGTTTTCAGTTCAGAATAATGGCCTAAATTCACTGTTTCAGTTTTTGCCAACCTGTCCTTTACAACCTGTATATGTACATAAGTAACAAACATAAAAAAATACAACCAAATTGAGAACGTCTTTCTTTTTGATGTCGGTTGAAAATAAACAGTGGACAAATATACCAGAGGGAGACTTTATACAAAAGTCGATTGCTTGGGTACCTCTGTCCCATTCGTGTTTCAACCGTGAAGCAGCTGTGTTTGCATGGCTGTGTTTCGGTTTGAAGGGTGGGATATGGCGTGAATTTACTGGGTACAGAGGAATAACACCTGAGTCCTCAGGAATGGCAACACATGGGGGGTATCATGGGCGAAACAGTAAACTCTGTTATGTCCATGGTACTGCTCATGTTTATAGGTGACGGTTACCACTTTCCATCAGGTGGACCGTCAGCTTGTTTGCCATTCTAAGTTGTATAAAAAGAAATATGTGTCGTTACATTAAGTTTTAAATTTCCAGTGACATGGAAACCCTGGTGCCTGAAGGTCTGAAGGTGACCAACATCGGCACCCAGGAGTTCACGGTCACGTGGCACTACGAGTCGACGCGTCCAGTGCACGGCTACAGGGTCTGCATATCCAACGACGATGGCTTTAGCAAATGCCTCGATACGTAAGTGATTTTTAATGTTGACATAGTCTTCAGGAATGGCAATGTATTCTATGATATCTATGGTGCTGTTCATGTCTATAAGCGACGGTTACCACTTTCGAATGGGCTGGCAATCTAAAAAAAATCTCCTCTTACGGGGAGATTTTAGCGCCCAACAGTGGGAACAATATTTGTGATGTCTTCATGGCCGTAGCTAGCCCCCTCTAGGCATTGAGTGGCAATCCCCCATCTTAAAAATCCCAATGTCCTGCTTTAAAATGAAAAGCCCCAAGAAAATTAGACTGATTCGCTTTTTCGAAGTCACTTAACTATGGTTTCTGCTCTACCAAAAAGTTCTTTTGCCCTACCTCTAGCTACGACCCTGGATATCCTTCTCGTAAGGTTGGTGAAGTAAATAATAAAAGATCATAAGTCACAATACGATTCGCACGATTACTTGGTAGAATGACACCAAGTTAAGTATGGTGAACTACCTACACTACAGTGGTTTGCAGTCACGATTTAATGTTATAATATGCTTAGATTATATAGATATTTTTTTTATACAACTTAGAATGGCAAACAAGCCGACGGCCCACCTGGTGGAAAGTGGTAACTGTCGCCTATAAACATGAGCAGTACCATGGACATAACAGTATACTGTTTCGCCGATGATACCCCCCATGCATTACCATTCCTGAGGACTCAGATGTTATTTCCCTCTACCTTGTAAATTCACGCCATATCCCACCTTTCAAATCGAAACACAACCATGCAAACACAACTGCTTCACGGTTGAAACACGAATGTGACAGAGGTATCAAAGCAATCTACTTTTGTACAAAGTCTCCCAAGTATGTACCAATATCTAATGTTACTTGTGTGGTGATGCAAATAAATTATCTATCTATCTATCTATGTACTCGAGCAGTAACCGCGAGTGGCTGACGTTCGACCAGCTGCAGCCAGCCACGGAGTACGAGGTACGCGTGCAGCCTGGTGCCGGCCGTCCGCTGCGCGTCACCACGCAGCCACTCGGTAAGCTAAGCACATAACTTACCACATTCACCAAGAGGCACACAGCTTCTTAGGAGGAGAAGGATTGAGGAGGGAGGTGATCAATTTCCACATAGTAAGCTAGTGTATTGTGGAGCTGGTTTAAAGCATGTAAACGAAAAATGAACGAAATGCATTGTAATGTAGACTACCAGCCCCATTGCTAGCAATATACCTTATCAGCTCCTTCACGTGGTCCTCTCTGGAAATCATTGTGCTGAATTCCAGGTGTATTCGTCACGGTGGGCTAACTGATCTGCCTTTTCATTCTCAACTATCATCCTTCACTGGTGCCCTTCCAGCATATACCGTTAGCGCAGGCGGCTATTACCATCTATTTATTCTATTATCATCCATTGAAAAAATAGTTTCTTAAAAGGATCTCTCTTTAATGGGGCCTTAGCGGTTCCATTACTAGCAATATATCCAAGTCGACTTCCATTCGATTTCCCCTGGAAACCATTGTGATTTATTTTTTATGTATTCAACGCGATGGGCTAACTGACCTGCTTTCATTCTCACCTATTATTCCTCACTGGGTACCACAGGTGGGGTTACTATTCAATTATCATCCATTAAAGAAAACCGAAACTGAGTGCGAGCTCTCACAGTGGTGTATATATATATTAGTGGCTATATTACGATCGATCTTTTGGTAACCGAGAGATGCAAATTGTATTTAATTTGATGTATTGACGTTTAGTCACGGATCGATGATCAAAGATCAGCTCAACTGCATGATTAGTTACTTATAACATCAAAGATGGCGCTCTTTTTTATTTTTTTAATTTTACTAAAAATTTTCTCATTTTTGGTAAGATCAAGAAGCAAGTATTGAAATTACGATATCCCTTCAGTGTCAGGCCGCTTCAAAGAGGTATCCTGCAAGTTCGTGAACTCGACCACACTGCTGGTGTCGTGGAACGCGGACAGTCCCAAGTTCACAGTGTCTTACACCACCAAGAAGCACACGGCGCTTGAAGAGTGGGATGCGCTTGATACCACCCATAACAGCGTCTTAGTAAGTTTATTATCACTTTAAGTTTGCATATAGTCCTATAATGAGTAAAAACAGTAGCTTTAATTTGTGTAATCCGTGTAGTTAGTTGATTTAAATTATTTTGTTTAAATCCGCTACCATTAGTATCCGTAATACATTTTAGAATTGACTATTATTAGTCATCAATCCCTAATTAAATTCATTAATTTGCTTAAAGATGCCTCGTTAGAGGTGAACCATGTTTTGTTAAACGTGCGTGGACGGAATAGCAATCGTAGATTGATGGACAATATGAAAGGTAGGATTTCTGGTAATAATAATAGTAGTCAATCTCCGAGTATTGACAGTCGCACGCATACTAATGGTAGCGGAATTAAACAAAATAATCCTAATCAACTAAACAGTAATATGGACTTCTGCAAAATAACACCTATTTCAATAAAATACTATCAATCTTTATTGGGTCTCTGACTAGTAGGGAATGATGAAAAGCCTCTATTAATAGTTGTTAGACCTCAAGTAAGCGTATAGTGTATACTAATGGTGGCGGAATTAAACAAAATAATCCTAATCAACTAAACCGTATTATGGACTTCCGCAAAATAACACTTAGTTTAATAAAATATCATCAATCTCTGTGTCTCTAGTAGAGAAAGTCGCAGAGCCTCTACTAATAGTTGTTAGTGCTCAAGTAAGCGTATAGTGTGATACTAATGGTAGCGGAATTAAACAAAATAATACTAATTAAGTAAACACTGATATGGACTTATGAAAAATAACATCTAATTCAGTAAATAGAATTCCATTAAAATTTGTTCAGCACTACTATTAAATCATATTTATTTATTACAGATCAACGGCATCGATAGATCCACGGATACAATTTTAAAAGTGATAGCGTACGATCCTGAAGAGAGCAGCAACCTAATCCCCTGCCATGCTGCCAGTAAGCATTTCAAATATTATATTAGGCACTAGTTGTATCTCGCGGCGTTACTCGTGGCCGTGTTGATGTTGAATAGACTATACTTTTCGTTAAGAAATGAGCTATTAAGTGCAAAAAAAAAAAAAAATTACATCCGACTGAGAGTTTCAGAGATAAGAGAGTTCAAAGGTAGACCATTAAGTTACCTTAGTCGCCTCTTACGACATCCACGGAAAAGGAAGGGGTGGCCCATTCTATGGCGGGACCACACGGCTTTAATATATTAGTGTGGATTATTTGATTTCTGGGAATTACATTGCTAATATATGACTGTCTGTGTGGTGACAAAGTAGCAATAATATCACTGTTTTTGGGAAGAGGCTCACGCCCAGCAGTGGGACGAATACGGAGCTCTGTGATAGTAATTATGAATATAATATTTTTGATAAGCCAGTAGAATATATTTATGTAAATTTTGCACTGATTGGTAGTATATTTAAAAGGTAATAATTATAATATGTAAAGACATTTAGAATTATCATCCTTATATTAGATTCTGTTCTGTTCTGTTCTGTCCTCTTCTGCTCTGTCCTCTTCTATTTTGTCCTCTTCTGCTCTGCCCTCTTCTATTTTGTCCTCTTCTGCTCTGCCCTCTTCTATTTTGTCCTCTCCTGCTCTGCCCTCTTCTAGTCTGTCCTCTTCTGCTTTGCCCTTTTTCAGATCTGTCCTCTTCTGCTTTGCTCTTTTCAGATCTGTCCTCTTTTGCTCTGTCCTCTTCTGCTCTGTCTTCTTCTGCTCTATAACTCGTATTATCCCGTCCGGTTCTTTCTATTTGAATTTAATTCGTTTAATTGGAATCCGTTCCAATACTTTTAAATTAAACGAATTTTTGGTAATAAAGTTAACAGTTACAAGTCTGTGTTAACTAGAAATGGGTGATATATAACAACACCTGTATATTGTATTTACAACATCTATATATTGGGACAATAAAAGATATGTTAAATATCGGTTGTCCAATATACATATAATATTGAAATAAGACACCTGACTGGAACGAATGGAGATATCTGACTGATATGGGCGATATCGAAACGGTTGAAGAAATTTTTCCGCCATACTCGTAAATTCCATAGGGAGACTTTGTACAAAAATCGTTTGCTTGGGTACCTCTGTCCTATTTGTGTTTTTACCGTGAAGCAGTTGTGTTTGCATGGCTGTGTTTCGGTTTGAAGGGTGGGATATGGCAGTGAATTTACAGAGTACAGAGGAATAATACCCGAGTTCTCAGGAATGGCAACGCATGGGGGGTATCATGGGCGAAACAGTATACTCTGTTATGTCTATGGTACTGCTCATGTCTATAGGCGACGGTTATCACTTCCCATCAGGTGGGCCGTCAGCTTGTTTGCCATTCTAAGTTATATAAAAAAAAACCGTCAGAGCGATACCGATATCACTCATGTCTAGTGACAACATAATGGCGGTTCCCATGAGCGTTATCTATTCTCTATGATGTCAATGGTATTGTTTATACCTACAAAATTTATCGTCAACTTGTATCTGTTTCTATAAGTGAACTAACTTTTTTTTTTAGAAATAAAAGATCTGCATTACACGTTCGTCCCATCCGGGATCCGTGTGTCGTGGAACGGCACCGGTACACAGACTGTACGATACTCGCAGAACCTCACACTGTTCTTGGAGCAGTGGTCCAGCTTCAATGTAACTGACAATTCTATTCTGGTGAGTAACCCTATTATCGTTTTTTTTTTATCTTTTTTATTTACAGGTTTTTATCTATAAGGATATGTCAGCCTTATCATACCCTAATTTAAAAAAAATACACACATACTTTAAACATTAATACATAAATTTATTTATTTATTTATAAAAGACACACCAACAATATGCTCACAATAATTAAGTAAACAATAAACAATGTTATTAGTAAGTAAAAGTGAAAAACTACTATTAAAAAATGCTTAAATCTAAGTCTGAACAAAAACATCTCACTCCTCCCTACCAAGCTTAAGGCCATATGAACATATCAATTAAAGGTGTATACAGCTCTCACAGATAAGCGTCAATGTACACTAACTAACAATTATACAATTAGAGAAGACCTAACTACCAATCCATATTATTAATAAGCCTATTTATTTTTTATATATTATAATTAATATGTTTTTTTAATTATCGTTTTAATATAATTTTATTCATGTAGAAAACTTTTTGCTCCTTGTACTTTGAATTCAGCGTATTTTGGTCATGACTAAGTTGTCGCTGAATTCGTTACGATGGGCTTACTTGTCTTTTCATCCTCACCAATCAACCCTTACTGATGCCCCGCCAGTGTATACCGATAGAGCAGGCGGGGTTACCATTCCATTATCAGCCATTATAAAAAGATCTTTTTTTTAACGTCTGGAAAATGCTTTATGCAGACCCATACACCTTGTGGGAGGTGAATGGGTACTGTGGGAATCTCTTCGTAAGGGTACCCCCCCAGGAGTGTACAATGTAATATACCCTCGAGGTGCCATATGTCGGAGACATGGGTTCGCTTTCGCACTCACCACATCTCCGACGGCAGCGACCCACCCCCAGATGGTAAGAACAGGTCTCCTCTTTCAAGATAGGGTGGCTGGCATGCTCACCCTACCATTCGGGGGACGCGTCGGTATATTATAAAAAGACCTGCCTTTTCATCCTCACCCATCATCCTTCACTGGAGCCTCGCCAGCGTATACGGTTAGCGCAGGCGGGGTTACCACTCCATTATCACTCACAAAAAAAGAATCATCAAAATCGGTTCATAAACGACAAAGTTATCCGCGAACAAACATAAAAAAAAAGCATATATACGGTCGAATTGGGAATCCTCGTGTTTTTTTTTTAAGTCGGCTAAAAAACCCGGTCAAACAAATCAAAAAAGCGGATAAAAGCTGTTAATCTTATATTTCAGTTGAGCAACTTGGACCCCTCGTTGCCCACGTACGTGATGGTGAAGAGCCCGGACACCAACCAGAACAGCCAAGTGCTGACCATACCGGTCAGACCGATCGTCAAGTCTAACTCCTCTTTTTATATAGGCAAGTATTAAGAGAGTCAAAATGAGCTAAAAAAGAAATAGACAGAGACTTTGTTTTACCTGTATTTCGATAGCCAAGCAGCTTCTTTGGTAAGGCTGTGTTTCGGTATGAAATGTATGGCATAGCAGTAAAATTACAGGGTACAAAGACATAACATGACGTTCATCGTTTTAGCCGTTAACTGTCCACTGCAGGACAGAAGCCTTCTTCATGAGGGGAGTTTTGTTTTGGCAGGTGGGTTGGCAACCCCAATTAAGCTTTTGGGGATGTTTTAAGAGGGACGCTGCTGCCCATCCCTCGCCCTCTTGGTCGCCTCTTATGACACTCACGGGAAAGGAAGGGGTGACCCATTCTATGCCAGGACCGAAACGGCGAATTGGCGTTACAGGATATTATTCTGTGACGTCTGTGGTATTCTTCTTGTCTACAGATGACGGTAATCACTTTTCATTGGGGGGAAAGGGATTGTTAGTATTGGAGACTGAGAATCCCATTGCTAGCAATATACCCAGCCAAGTCGACCTCTTCGCGGTTCCTCTTGGAAACTATCATGGTTAAGTCCTGATGAATTCATCATGATGGGCTAACAGGCCTGTTTTCATTCTCATCGATCACCCTTCACTGGTGCTCCGCCAGCGTATTCCGTTAGCGCAGACGGAGTCACCACACCATTTTCACGCATAAAAAAAAAACATTTTTCATCAAGTGGCCGTCCAGCTTGTCTGCTATTCTAAGTTGATGTAAAAAAATCGAGATTAGATCCATTTTGGACATATGCTTATTTTATGCCCAGTACAACAAACACTTTCAGTTACTGAAACACTGCCATATCTGTCTGTTTACTGTATATCTATCTATCTATTGTATAGATAATCTGGTAGTATTGTTTTATTGTTACCCTATTCCCTTTGGCCGCAACAGAATATCAGTGCTTTGCTCTTTTGAAGGCGAAGCAATAAACTGAGTTGTGACCATTTTGTATTGCTATGGCACACTCACAAACCAAAATTGTATTTAGCTTTATGTATTTTTTTTAATCATTTATGTTATCTCGCTTTTTTTTGTATATGTATGTTGTAATTTGTGTGCTGTAAGTAAGTAATGCAAATAAATTATCTATCTATGTATCAGTTTCTTTCCCATGGGTGTTGTAAGAGGTGATTAAGGGAATTTAGTGGTCTCAAGTGGACAGGCAGCAACGATTCTTTTTAAACATTAGCAAAGTCTAACTGCGATTGCCAACCCACCTGCCAAGCCTGATAACTACAGGTAAAACCCTCCTTATGGGAGAGGCGTTCAGCAGTTCAGCAGTGGACAGTTATGGGCTGATATGGTAAAGACACAATATATATTTCTTTATACACAAGATTACAAGATACCATCTTTCAAAAAAAGCGTTCACGCTCACTTTTTATCTTTATCCGAGCAGTAAGTGCTTTATATTATTCTCAATTTCGTGTATAATATAGTATATATCATATATGTGTAAGTATATTTGTTATTCATATATATTTATTCGTTTATATATGTAATTTTAGTATGTATGTATAGCAAGAGTTACTAGTACCGCATTCGAGTATTCTGACACTTGCCTATGGTTGACTGGGAGAGAATGCTTTTATTTCTTTTCGGTTACATGCTGATATATTGGGAGAAACATCAGGCGATTAAGAGTTAAACCAGCTCCACAACCTACTGGCTTACTGTGTAGAAATGGATCACCCAAGCCATTTTAGCATTAAGTCCGCCATGTACACATATTTGTACTAATGAATAAATAAATAAATTACATTAATTTTTTTAACAATTTTGTAAATCACCTCTTATAATGGCAAATGTAATATTTTTGATATTTTTTCCAGGAATAGGCGTGGCTAGCGGTATGTGTGTGCTGTGTTTACTGGTTCTGACCGCCGTGTGCGTGTGGCGGCGGAGAAAGAACATCAGATCTCCTCACAGGTATACCTTTTTTTTTATACAACTTAGAATGGCAAGCAACCTGACGGTCCACCTGATGGAAAGTGGTAACCGTCGCCTATAGACATGAGCAGTACCATGGACATAACAGAGTATACTGTTTCGCCCATGATACCCCTATATTTATCATGCGTTGCCATTCCTGAGGACTCAGGTGTTATTCCTCTGTACCCAGTAAATTCACGCCATATCCCACCCTTCAAACCGAAACACAGCCATGCAAACATGACTGCTTCACGGTTGAAACACAAATTGGACAGAGGTACCCAAGCAATCGACTTTTGTACAAAGTCTCCCTCTGGTACCTAATAGTACTTACTTAAAATCGTAACTGGTCGCTGTCTGTACATGGAAGATATATAAGAAAAACTATTACAGGGGGACTTTAGGAACGTAATAGAATCTAAAACAATGATTTTTAGAATTTTTTGTCTGTTTGTCTGTAGGTTTGTGTCTCACCTCGCCCTCCCTTCGTTGCGTCTTACGACACCCATGACGGGAAAGGAAGGGGTGGCCTATTCTATGCCAGGACTATATGGACGCGTATTTAATGCAAAGTGGATAATTATTTGTTTTTTTTTTTTTTAATAGATGATAATGGAATGGTATCCCCGCCTGCGCTATCGGTATATACTAGCGGGGCACCAGTAAGAAAATATAGATGTGGATGAAATTAGGTCAGTTAACCGATCGTGATAAATCCCACAAGAACTATTTAGATGAATTCCAGGAAACGGTTTGGAAGTTGACCTAATAGGGTATATTGGCAATGGGACTGTTAGGTCCCATTACTAACAATCCCTTTCCCCTCATTTTATTTATACATAGTTGTACTTCATGTTTGTTCCAGGCCCCGCCGGAGGAACACGTCATTAAATGAAGGGGATGAGGAGGAAGCCTCAGAAATGAAGGTATATTAATACATGTACATAGACTCTTATCTGCATTGTTTATTTTATTTCTTAGCCCGTGCTGAACTGACTTTGATAATTTTTATTCCAATCGATATGGTTTAAATTCCATTTTGATCCAAACAAGGAGAAAAGATTTGTATGTTTGTTTATTTGTAATGAATCAAAACTCAAAAAATACTCAAAAGATTTTAAAAATTCTTTCACATATAAAAAGCTATATTATCAGTGAATAAAGGCTATATACATACATACATACATACATATCCGTCACGCCTGTCTCCCATTAGGGTAGGCAGAAACAATGGAACGCCAAATGCTCCGATTCAAACAAACCCCTTTCGCTTCTTCCACAGTCATCAATCTTTTCATACACGCTCGCCGGTTACGGGCACTTTTAATTTGGCCCTTCTTCAGCACGTCGCCTATTTGGTTAACATACGTCCGTCTAAGGCGGACCCTACCGACATCTACATTCATTCTTGCTCGATAAATCTCTTTTGTAATTCTTCTTTCATGCATCGTCTCCAAATGACCACTGTTTTTGAAAAGTCTATCTAATCGTGCAAAGCCAGGCCACATTGCTAGTCTCATATATATTAGTCAATATGGTATCCAGGAGGTTGACCTAATAGGGTATATTCAAATTCAATACATACATACATATCTGTCACGCTTGTCTTCCATTAGGGTAGGCAGAAACAATGGAACGCCAAATGCTTCGATTCAAACAAACCCCTTTCGCTTCCTCCACATTCATCAATCTTTTCATACACGCTCGCTCTTTATTCAAGTAGACTTGTTTACAAGCACTTTTAAATCGTCATTTTTTTTAAATGTACTGCAGAGTTCAGAAAGTTTTGTTTTTACAACACTGAGGGCAAACGAGCATGCGGCTCACCTGATGGTAAGTGACTACCGCCGCCCATGATCACCCACAACACCAGCGGCATTGCAGGTGTGCTGCCGGAATTTTAAAAAGATATATGCTCTTTTCTTGAAAGTTAAGTTGTTATTGAGAGGAGCCTGCAAGAAACTCAACAGTATATTGCCAGCGATAGGCCTCTTAGATGCCATTATTAAAAATGTTCTCCTACCAACAGATTATAAGTTGATAGAGGGCAATGCGTGTAAGGAGTGGGGTGCCATATTCCTGTAAGACCTTTTGACATTTTGCAGAACGTGGGCGTGGGCCTGGCGAACGGCGGTGGCTCCAAGGACGCTGGGGAACCACTCCTCAACGGCCACGTGCACATCACAGAGAATCCGGTCAGTTTATATGATTTTTTATGGTACATGGAACAGGAAAAAATCTGATAACCCACTTTTTTTTTATACAACATAGAATGGCAAACAAGCTGACGGCCCACCTGATGGAAATTGGTAACCGTCGCCTACAGACATGAGCAGTACCATGTACATAACAGAGTATATTGTTTCGTCCATGATATCCCAATGCGTTGCTATTCCTGAGGACTCAGGTGTAATTTCTCTGTACCCTGTAAATTCACGCCATATCCCACCCTTCAAACTGAAACAAACACAACTGCTTCACGGTTGAAACACGAATGGGACAGAGGTACCCAAGCAATCGAATTTTGTACAAAGTCTCCCTTTCCTCCACTTGATGGAAAGTAGTCACCTATACACTTGAACACGGTGAATTCACAAAATCTTTTAGGTATTTCTATGGTATCCGTCACGTGTTGCTATTTCTGAGGTTTGGGATTTGGGATGGATCTTCGTACCCTATAATAAATTCACTGCCATATCTCATTCTTGACCCTTGAAACTAAAACACAGTTAAGCACGTAGGTTGCTTGGCATTGAGAATAAAATTAATTAGAAGTAATTTTTTTAAATGGGTGAGAGTGGAATGGTAATCCCGGTTGCGCTATTGACATACGCTGGTGAAATACCAGTGAGGGATGATAGGTGAGAATGAAAGCAGAGCAGTTAGCCCATCGTAACTAAATCCACGAGAATTAACCACGATGGTTCTCAAGGGGAATTGGAAGATCGATCTGGTATATTGCTAGATATGGGGCTAGCTTAGATATAATTACTAACAATTCCTTGCTCTCCCAGTCAGAGGTACTTATGTGGGCATATTTAAACAACGATTATCCTGGCATACCATACGACTTTATATAAAAAGCCTATTTCTTGCCTGATCCTGATCCGCATAGTTGGGTTATCAGTTAGATCTGGTTGAAAAAGACACTCTTTTAGTGAATAGTAACCAGTTAGAATGCCTACTAGGGTATTACCAAGATAAAAAATATATTTCCATGGCGTACAATTAGAGGTATAGCGTTTCTTAATTATCAGTCTCTAAATAATCTTTAGATGTCTTCGTTATAGCAATCAAAGACACCAAACGGGAAGATGAGGAAAGGGCGTCTGTACGTGGACGCGTTCGACTTATCCCGATACGAAGACCAGGACACAACCCTGGAGACCGTCCTCGACGGCGACACGTCCACCTCCACCGCGTACAACCTGCTGGACACCTCCCGGAGACCCGAGTACGACATGTCGCTCTCGTCCCGGGACATCAGCGCCAACAACTCCTTCAATAAACTACCCGATGACAATATGAACTCAGAATTGACTAGGAGTACAGATTTCGAATCGGACAACAGCAAAATTCAACCTACGCTCCAACCGAACGGTTGAAACCGGTATACTTGCCGGTACAAGAACAACACAAGGGGTAGGCGGCCCCTGAAACCGGTATACCGGTTTCACGCGTCAATTTCAACGGTTGATACGTATATTATAAGTACTGAGAGAATTGAGATTTTGTACAGAAAACATTGTAATAGATTCTTATTAGACGGAGCTAAATGGATATACAAGTACAATAGGGAAGATAGAAGGGACTACTTAATGTTGTTATAGTTCATATTGAGGCTTCACTCTGGCAGGTGCGGGTTTGTGCGAGGATAGCTTGGCGTGTAATGTTCCTAATATAGACTTTATTTTTAATGACGTAAGGCTGATTTTTCGTATATAACATTACGGGTACACAATAATTTAAGTGAAAATCAGGTCGAAAATAACTCTTGTTACAAACGCACGTGAAGTTATTCTCGCTTGAACTGCCAGTGGCTAGTAACCGGCCCTTCACCGATCACCGACACGTGACAGTCACACCATCCCTCTACCATTAGATATTGTTATACTTAAATGTATTGTAAATAGTTATTATATTGCTCGTTTTGGGCGAAGCACTCTCGTATAGGTGTAGTTATTCATTGAAATCGGCCTGACAAGCGTCAAGACAATAACGCGGTAATGGCGCGAAAATTTATAACCTCAAATATTTTGTTTTTTTGCGTGAAGCGGACTTTACGCGCTAACAAAATAATTGTGTGTGTATATATGAGTGTTTTTACATTAAATTACAGTGCCTCCTTATAGTACATACCGTTTCGGATAACAATAGGTACTAAAACGAGATACAAATACTTTCACCATTAGTGCAACGCAATCGTACAAAATAGAGACCAAAATGTAATCCAAACACCCATAAATTCACGTTTACATAACATGATAGTATTTATTGATGTTATAAAGTATTTATTTTTTTCTGTGTTTTTTTTTTTCATAGACAGTTCTTAGACAAAGCCTCAGAAGCTATCTGTTACCTTCACAATTACATTCCAGTTTATAACGTGACATCACAACAACGTACCTATCTTTACAACGCACAGTTTTTATTTTATATATTCCTGTTATAGTTTTATATATATATATATATATATATATATATATATATATATATATATATATATATATAAGCAGTTATTTTTTACACTTCTAACATAACACAAAGTTGTTTCTTTCTAGATACTTAAAAACCTAAAAAAGTAGATAGTATAAAAGGTAAAATGTAAAAAATAACTAAAAAAAAAAAAATAAGATATATAAAAATAATTTATTACAACGAACTACTGATATTGTAAATGAAATAATAGTTTATGATAGACGCGTTATTGTTATCAAAAAAAAATAAATAAAAAAAGAAAAATCTGTTAAACGTTATCTGCTCAGGCGCACCTCTTACTTTGAAAGGAGCTCGGTTGTCCGGCCATCTTGGTTTCCTTACCGACCGCCAACTATGTTCGTTGTACATTATTCCATATCACAATTTATATCTACCTCATTTTCTTCGTTGTAAGATTCTTTTAGATATTAAAATTAATGTTGAAGCAATTAGTTTTTTGTAATTTTACCCATCGACCTGTGGTTTTAGGTACCTTTATAAAATACCTGCTAGAGACGGCACTTACTGGTTAGTTAGTAATATGTTTTTTTTTTTTATTTATTTATTGTTAGAACTATAAGCATTTAACTATTTCACTGATTAATACAATCACCGTTACATATGTTGAATCTCTCGTCCGGTTGTAAACTTTTTTTCAATTGGATCGACATTGGTTTTATAGTAGTTTCAACCGTCATTTTATAATGGAAAATAGTCCATTTTGTAATGGAAAATGGACTAAATCTATCATTATTGTTAGGTTTTTTTTTATAATTAATGAAATTCATAATGCCCATACAGTTTTTGCTCTAAATTTGCTTTCATTTTCTTTTATTTTCAACAAGGACCATTATAGTACAATATTTACATCTATTAAACTCATAAATTAATGCATTAAATTAATTATTTTTGTTGTTGGCAATAAATGTTTTCTTTCTTTCATTCTAATGCAGTTTCTTAACAAAAAAAAATTTTTAATTATTAATTTTTTCATATTTTAGTAAAAGTACAAAAGTTAAAGTGAAAAAAGAAACGAATTTGTATTTTGTATTGAAAATATTAAATTCTTGTTCTTGTCAATGGACGATTCTAATATATCAGATATATATTATTGTTCTCGCTTTGCCATTAAATTAAAAATTTTTAATCACTATAGATTTTTAATTTTTTTTTCTAATTTACTAGGAACAGAGTTTACCGAAAATAGTCAAGAAGTTCGATTAAAAAAAATATATATAATAAGAAATACTTTGAAGTCATTCCGTCCTTTCAGAAGTTACCTATATACAATATAAAAAAACACACACACAATAATTTCTTAATTTCCTCAATAATTTTTTAATTCCTTCTACCCAATGGTTGTCTAAACGAGATTGCACAGCAATAAGACAACCTTTTGTACTACACTATGCTTATTAAAAAACCCTTCGACAATTCATGTAATGTTGGTGCAATAAAGTGTTAAATAAAATAACTCACAATTTAGTGCAGGTGTCATTAAAATCAATGTTGATCCGGTTGCTATATTTTTTTTTTACCACATATTTCGTTTTCCCCACATTTTTGCGCAGTTACTGATATTAGGTACGTGGCACATTTTATAACGTTAAAATTTATTACATTCTCTCATGAATTACTTTAATTATAATTGCACCTAGGTACAATTTATATAATTAAGTATTGACGGCCATGTGTTTTAATAAGTCGACCAACTGTTATAATAATGACTATAATAATAGTTTTTGCTTTATTTTTTTTGTTTGCACAAAGTCGTTACTTGTATGTTTTTTTTTTTCTTTTACAAAAATATTATTCTTCTTTACACGTTGACTTTTTAAAATACGTCACGCCCCTGTAAATATTATACAAAGTATGAACTCAGTTTAAAATTAAAAATTAAATAAATAACGCCGACTATGTACCTGAAACTTCAATTACACTAAGTTAACTAGACTTAGATGTAGTGTTAGGTCTTATAAAATCTAGAGTTTTATCTTTGACGCTAAGTTATGTCACAGGGTCTATGCTTCTGACTTGCAAGGCGATGTAATGAGCTGGTGGAACATTGTAATAGTGTATTATATTATATATCACAGTGTTGCGAACATGCAGGGAGAATTTCGCTGTTGTCTAAATTTTTTTTTTTTTTTGTTTTACTACTATTATTGAGGATTCACCTTAGCCAAATACTATTTTTTAAACGACACGAACGTGTAATAGTTTATTTCATTAGTATTCTATAAGTTCAGTGTTACAAAAAACATTTAGCATTTTTTTTCTTAAATTGAACTTAATTTGTTAGTCAATAGAAAACAAAAATGTTAAGCAAAAACCTGGATTATCTGTTTACACTTGCAATTTTTTGATATGACAATGATGTGTCAGGTCGTGATTTTTTATCTTTGTCACTCAACAAACAAAGTCAATAAAGCAAAAGAAGGCAAATATGTTTATACACTATTAGAAAGTAAAAAAATAAACCTCGTGTCATAGAAATGTTAACTCGCAATAGAATAAAACCATAATGATACGAAAGTTAAAATATTATATGTTCAAATGTACCATAGGTGTGTAATGTAGGTACCATAGACTATGTAATTCACTTTATTACTACATTTTTTTCTCCCAATCCTAAAATACAATCTGAGATGTTCACTCGCGGTTGTGTTAAGCGTTATATTTATTTTATTCACTTTTTATTGTATATATAGTGGAAACAATGTAATAACTATATATTTTGAAACATTGATCTGTCATTGTTGATTTTTCTTTTTTTTTTTTTAATATTATTGTGGAACCAAAACATTGAATGTCATCGCAATAATTGATACCTGAATGATGTACAATACAATGTTTGCGTAACTTATTTATAACGTCTATTTATTAATTAAAGTAGATCTGCGAATAACTGATATTGTAATAGTTCTAATGTTTTACGTTTTTTTTTTGTTACAAGTGGTCACTAAATAGAAAGTATCGAAACCGTCGATAGAAATTTTAATGTGTAAAGTTAGTAAACATCGGCACATCACTGTTTTTCGATTGACCGGTTTAATTAAAAACAAAAAAAAAAGTACATTCTAAATATAAATGGAAATAAGATTTATACCTAATATACACATCCTACCTACATATTTTGTTCTACCCACACATTTACATTGGCTTGTCCGTCCTTGGAGTGAAAATAATAAAAATAAAAAAGAAAAGCCTGATAATGTGCCTCGTAATTATTTGGTATTTGTTTCGCAGTATTTTTTAAGTATTAAATGCAATGGGACTAGTACAGTACACTATATAGATTTATTTAAATAGTAAATTCAATGCAAACAATTGTCTTTACCTCTATATTTCATCTAGGTATAAATGCGTATCGTAAATTATTCGAATATGTATTCAGTACTGCGTACTTGCGCAGTAATAATTTTGTATATAAAAGTGTCTTTGTGCAATTTTCATTTATCCATAGTTTTGTTTTAAGTTTTTCGCCGCGGACTGTGCATCTATAAAAAAAATTATAGCTATAAGCATGCCCATATATATATAGTATATTAAACAATTACAGGGATACCAATAATAGAAAGAATAGCAATACAGGCGGTATGATATCGTCAACTCGTTTCGGCATGTTATTTTAATTTCTTTTTTAGTACATTAGTAGGAATTGTTACTTTTTGTATATATTGATGAATTTGATGAATCGATTACAAATTAAAGTTTATTTGTTTACAAAACATTTTAACACGTTTATGATTTCTTTTTATTGTATATATGTCGGTACGTTTTAGCTATCGCACTTCGGTGGTAATGAAACATAAATAGATTAAAAAAAATTAACATTTATGTATTTCATATGTATAATATTTTGTTGATTTTTTTTTTAAATTTAGTACGTAATTAAAGAACATCTAAATCGTACTATTAAAATATGTTCCAAGAAAAACACGATGAAAAATTTTGTCTATTCCACCGGCGGTCCATAATTTTTGAAATCAAATTGTAGGTGTAAATCTGAGGTAACGACAGGTAAATTAACGACAAACCAATCTATACGTACTGGAGTCCCTTTGCTTGTAAACAGAATAAAAAATCCAATTTGACGCCATTTTATACACTTATTTTATTTGTTTCTGACACTAAAAAGCGGGTAAATCATTCCATTTATTTATTTCCATTTATCCAATAGCAGATTTTACCCACACACATTCCATGCTTTGCTGCAATAGTTTTTCATACATACCAAGCAGATTTTTTTTGTAAATACATCATTATAATAATTAGTATTTTACAAGTCTCGTTATTTATACCTTTAAGTATTTTACATGCCTCGTGATTAACTAGAAAGCAATAGATTTACATATTTAATTGTAACCGTCTCGTAATTTTGTTGCAAGTCGTTATAATATTGTCCTCCATTTTGTTTTGTAAACTCAAAATGGTGCCAGCTGTTATATATTCTTTTTTATTTTTCAAGATAGTGTGATAAAGAAATCTCAACTCTGATTATTATGTATTACGGTTCATTTAAGTGTACCTAATGGTGATTTAGCGTGTACTTAGTAAAGCGTCCGAACCAATTTAGTACAAATGCGTAGGTACACGGCTGAATTTCACTTTATCACCAATTGTGTTTTAAGTAGCTCGCATATTTTATTTGTTGTTCCCTTTTATTATTTAGTTTGACTATTTAGTTTAATTATTTAATTTAACTATTTAGTTTGACTATTTCACTGTTATTGGTAAGTTTTGCGACGATTCTGTAAGGATTTTTTTTTTTACTGCAACTTACATTTGAAATTAAACCAGGGGACCAAACCTCTGTAGCTCTTTAGAAGTTGTACGTGTGGGAGTATATACGTACCTATATTTCGTAACGAAAATGTAAGTCTACATAGAATGACAATTCATGTAAATTTGGCTAAATACGTAAATATTCATAATTACTATTATATATAAAATATATATAAGTAGACGCATGTTTGAACAGCGTAAGCACATAATGTATACTTACCAGCTAATAACTTGAGCAAGACTTTATACTGCGTGACTTGCGCAGTAACAATTTTTGCACAATTCAACTGCGCAACACTCATTACTATAGTTTTTGTCCAGGTTGTTTCCGTGAACTGTACCTACTTAACTACATAACATTTGTATTTTTTTTTACTAATCCAATTTAATAATGGCTGACTTAGATATATATATTTTTTTTGTATACTTGCGTTGCTAAATCAATAGAAATCGTTGCAAAAAACCAATAGCACATATAAGTTAAGATGTTGTTGTAAAAATTAATAATATAATAAAAAGAATATAACGACCAGTGTGGTGGCTCAACTTCGGATGTAAGGTACCTATTATTAGCCACAACCCCTTATAGATTGAAACATTAATATAACAATGTCCGCGAAACTGATATATTTTAATACATACCTACCTATGTAATACACAACAAACGACTCAAAATATTATTATACAGTAACAGATGAAAATATAGATAGAAAAATAAATATATTTTTATATGAATAATAAAGATAAATAAATTGGGTTTTATTTTCTTCATAATTTAACGAATAACTAATTAATTCTAGACTATCTAATAAAAATATTTCTTTCCATTTCTCCTTAAATAAGTTTACAATTAAAATATTTCAGTTTCGTGTTTTCTTATTTTTTATTTTTAATGTAAGAAACCATTAAAAAGTGTTGTGGGAACATGTGAGGTTATTTTTAGTGTTGTATTTAAAATGAATTTAATGATCGTTTAGTAAATGTATGCACTTCAATAGCTTATACATTTCAGAAAGATTGACAGTCGAATTGAGAATTGTGGAATTTTTCGTTAAAATTTATTTTATTTTATTTATTAGGCGCACATAACAGAAGTTTACAAATACAAACTTAAACTATAACATGCAAGTACATTAATGTATTGATCAGGTAAACTTGCCACAACATGTGCACACAGCATGATCCAATAGTAAATGCGACTGCAACAAAACCATTCGGTTGCAACTATTAGTGATTGAATTTATTATATAACTTGGATCATATTATTAATACTCAATTGAAATAGGTATTAAGTAATATCGGAATGTCTTCAAAATTAAATTTTGCTTAAACCGCTTGAATAAAAGTGAAAATTTCCACTGTACTTCTAATAATGATTACTTAAATAAGTACTGTTGATTACAATTTGTCAAAATCGTTAATGAAATGAATTTCATACACTCATAGTACTTGTAGAAAATAATAATAGCATTTTTAAAAATAATTAAATAGTCAGGCACTGAATTATCTTGTTTAGTATAGTAATTGAAGTTTTCATATATCAGCACAAACAAGGCTTTAAAGTCTTGTAATAATATTAGATTTGTATAAACAATATTATTTAATTTCAACAATTTTTTTTGCACAAAGTTGAAGCAATTTGCGCAAATTAATGACAATATATTCTGATGCGGGAATTTCACTCAGTATGTAAAGTCCTCTGTGGCGTAATAAGTTACATTTAGATGCAGTATCATCATTAAATTGTGACTCTATAAAGATTACTCACTTTAATTAATTTTAAAAAAATAATCAAATATAAAAATAAATTAATTACTTTATGTAAAATATTTTTTTACCCCACTGACTTGGCAAATAAGCATATGGCACACCTGATGGAAAGTGCAAAACCAAGGTATTACACGCGTGTTGCCATCCTTTAAAAAACCTCTTTACCGCCCTTTTTTTTTTGTAAAACTCCACAATGTAAATTTTAATTAACTGGAATAACAATGCAATATTTTAATCGATTCTGAAACGATCCCAGTGTAATGTCAGGAGAAAATGCATTGTTATTATTAAAATATTTTAAATTAATTGTGTATAAGTTATTCGAAGTGAAAGTACATTTTATTAATAATTTTTTTTTTGCACTGTTTAATTATAATTGGCGAGTCGAGTGCGCATGTTCCCGCAACTGATTAGTTATAAATTTATTGAATCTACCTCAACCAAATTACCCATTTAATGTTGTTTGTAAGTGTTCTTTTGAGTCTTATTATTATTAATAATAACTGAATTGTAGTGTTTTTTATAATAAAGTTATTATTAATTCCAACATCCCCTTTTGATATGGTAATTATTGTTACCAAACATATTGAATGAAAGGTTAATGGTGTTGTAAAGGTAATGTCATGATTGAACGATATTAAATTTGAAAAGCATTCTTTATTTTCATTTTATTCATTCATCTCAACAATTTCCTTTTTAAGACATTATCATTCTGGGTCTAGATTGTTTGAAACCAGGGGTGGCCAACTGGTCGATCTCCATCGGTCGGTTGAACGAAACTGTTAGTCCAGTCGGTCGTGGCAAGGCAAAAAATATAATATTTTGCTAATCTAGCGGAAGATGCTCAGACGCAATGCTCACACTAATATAAATAAGTAGTTACTGAGAATCGGTTTCAGTTTTATGTTTTCCCTCTTAATAAAATAAAAAATATTACAGTACTACATAATTGTGTACTGAACTATATTGTTTCATTTGAGATTTCAAGAAGTATGTAATTGGTAGATCGCACTGGGTTTCGTCAGTAAACAGATCTTGGGTCTAGTCACCCCTAGGCCACCCCTGCTTTAAACTTTATCGACATAAAGAGATGTTATTTCAATTTATGTCTCTGTCTTGGGATCCTTCAACTACAGTCAAACTTTGTCACTGAATATTTCCTGCTTATAAACATAACAACTGTTTGCCGCGGCTTTGTCCGCGTGAACCAGTATATAAAGTATCCTATGTATTAATAATATCTAAACATCCAAATATCTTTAGAAGTTTTTACATTTAAAATATATGCAGGATTAATTTTTTTTTTTATACAATTTAGAATGACAAACAAGCTCACGCCCCACCTGATCGAAAATGATAACCGTCGCCTATAAACATGAGCAGTACCAGGATATAACAGAGTATACTGTTTCGCTCATGATACCCCTCATGCGTTGCTATTCCTGAGGATTCAGGTGTTATTCCTCTGTGCCCTGTAAATTCACTGCCATATCTCACTCTTCAAACTGAAACATAGTCATGCAAACATAACTGCTTCATAGTAGAAAAACGAATGGGACAGAAGTGTACAAGCAAATGACTTGTACAAAGTCTCCCTCTGGTATACCGTTAGTGCAGGCGAAGTCAACATTCCATTATCGTTTATTAAAAAAAAAAACTCGTTGTTGGTAATAAATTGTAATAAAACAACAAATAGCAAAATTATTTTATTGTTTATTTCTCAACTGCACAAGTAGACTCTGTCTGCAGAGGCGCGAGACTGCACCCTCGTCTTTGCGCCGTAATTTGGCTGCTAGACGCGCCAGGCTGAACCGAGACCTTGAACGACCCTCGCGCCGTCCTGATGGGCATAAAACGTGTTATTGCCAAGTGGATTTTACACCATAAAATAAAAAACGACACACTTTTACAGCATAAAACAAAAATATTGACGGCCATTTGTGTTACTAGAGATGGAAAATTGAAAATTTTGAAATTCACTTGTTGGAATGTAGCAACATTAGATTATATAGAAAGAGTGTTTCCATACATATGCTTCGAGAAAATCGGGTCAACTTTTTCATACAATTTTGCGTGATAAATAGTTATGAGTGATTCCTTTATAACTTCTATATTTATTTTGTTTTATAATTACTGCATCTTTTTAAAGAATAAAAACTCATTTTATTTATATGCTTAAGTATATAGAACACTAATAAAAAAATAGTTAATTTGACAAATAGCTAACAAAAAGTTGACCTGTTTTTGAAACTCAATGCTCTATCTGAGGTAATCTAAAGTAGCAACCTTTGCCCATAGATACAAAGAGCGCATTTCGGACATCACAGACAATGCCAACGTCCATAGTATCGCATGCATTTCACGTCCTGATGACTAAGGTATTATGCCATTGTATCCTGTATGCCATTACCATGTCCTATCTCTGTTGGGTGTTTTGATTTTCTCTCATCAACATTATCATACTAGCCCTTAACGGTTCACTGCCGAACATATGCCTTCCCCAGAAGGGAGAATGTCTGATCTTATGTTTATTATAATACGTACCCGACATTTTGATAAATATTTTAATTCAAATGTAATAGTAAAAAAATAATAATCAGTTTTTTCCAATAAACAGAATTCTATTCCAGTCATTATAAAGTTAAATACATATTTTTCCTCTTTTGAGGGAAGAAATTAGACACTTTCCAAATAAGAGTGGTTATATTTTTATAGTGAATTTGTCAGCTATTAATTTTCCTACAATAAGATTAAAAAAAAAAAAGAAATACCTTCAACTGCCACTCTCTGCCACGCCTCCCTGTCCACGTTTACCATACCGGTGGACGCACTTCGACCCAACCCAGACTCTTGGTTGCTGGAGCTTTGTGACTCTGTTACATCACTCTCGCAACTTATGCGGCTCGATCTAAAACAAAATATATTAGTAAATAAAATTTTGTAGATAGTACGGCACAGAAATAGAATAGTTCCGGAATCGATAGGTGCTGTACAAAAAATATTTTATAAAACTAAAATAACTCATTTGGCAACTGACACTTGGATATTTTTTTCTAATACGGGATAATTATATAATTAAATATAAAAAAAATCTCACCTATCTGCAGGCCTCAAATCACTGGTAGAACTAGTTCCTTCCCTCCTTATCGGCCCAGGTGACGCTAAAAATCTTTCTCTCGCCGCTCGAATCCTTGCAGCTCTTTCCGATAGCCTCACTGCCGCTGCGTCAGCCTCAGTCAAGGACATTGCAGGCTCCACAGTAGATATGGATCTTTCAAATAAGCGAGGATTCTCTGATACTAGCCTTGTTATACTAGGCACTATCACTTCAGACAATTGTCTATAAACAGGAGCGGACTGATTATTATTGTTTAGATTATTTTGAAAATCAGGCAGGTTTCTTGTTAAGTCTGGAACTATTGTATCTGTACTCGCTTTGCATCTTAATGTTTCTTCACTATCGACTTTCTTTTGTTCTAATGAAGATTGACTTTCAACTGTAGACTGTTCAGGGTGGAGAGCGTTTGCACTGTGTGATTTTAAAACTCTGTCAAGACCATGCGAAGATGTTGGCACGAGACGTTTGTCAGCTGATGTTTGGTCGCGTCTGGAGAGTTGACATGCGCTGGCAGACTTCTGGACTTCCCTTTCGAGAAATGGGTTATTCCTGATTGTCAATATTATTAATTAATTATGAAATTTGATAGAACATGAAATATCAATGAAAGTTGTTGCGATAAGGCTTGATAACAATAATACCTGATATTAACCCCAATTGGCATATCGGGAGGGCGGCGTCTTTCAGCAGCTGGTGATCGCCAGGCTGGTGAAGATGCACCGCTGCTGGGCCCAGATGTATGACCTGAAATTATTAATAGTTTTTAACATAAAAGCATATATACTGTAGCGATAATACTACCAAAATTAAATATACATAATATACAAATTGCAAGTTGCAAAAAAAAAAAACAAGAAATGTATACCTTCTTCATTAATTTTCTTATTGTATCGTTGTATCATAATTCGAATAGATGGAGCAGTTTCTTTTGGTTGTGGTTTTCGCTGCGATGATGGCGATGATGGTAAAGGCGGTCTAGTTTTTGGTTTCTGTTCTTCATCTTGGAGATCTCCGGAGCCTTTAGTATTAATATCAGTTGCACATCTTGTTTTTCCTGCCTTTTCTTCAAATTTTTTTACATTGTCTACATTATGATAATTTATATTATGATCTCTTGGAGACCTTACTTCAGCTAAATCTTCAACGTTTAAGGGTATAACAGCTCTTGGTACCGATTCTCCACTTCTTACAACTGGAGAAAATATTTTTCTTGTTGTTTTCACTATTACTTCAGGAGACCCATCTCGTAGTTCCGGAGCTTTTAGTTTAAGTACGAATACCTAAAAGGTGTGTTTAAACATTTTAAATTATATGAACCTTGAATTATTACTAAGGCATTAAATTGTGTCCATATAATCGTAAGATATACTAATACCTCTCCTTCAGAGTCCGAATGGAAGTGAGCCGTTGGTGGAGTTCTTGGTCTTTCTGATGCACGTCTTGGTCTTTTTTTTCGTCTAGGAATTTCAACTGTAACTGTATCGACATCTTGCTCTGTATCACTCTCCGAAGGTTTCGATAGTTCTCTTTCTAGTCTTGATCTAGACTTACTTTTCTTTTTACCATTACCTTTTTCAATTTCTTTTCGCTTGCTATCATCTTTTATATCTATATGATCTCTATCTTTTTCTTTTAAATTAGAACTAGTATTTTTATGATCAATCCCTTTGCTAGTGGATGGCATGTCTTCATCAGTATTATGAAATTCATTAATATTAGTATCAGCTTCAGTAATTATTTCGTTGTCATCTTTAAAACGCATAGAACTGCCTCTTTCAATTTCTTCTATTGTCTTTCTAATGAACATGGCATCTTCTTCTATGCTAGGTTGCTTTGAAATTTTTCTTTTTGAATTCTTTTCAGTTTCTTTAGACTGAAATATGAGTGTGATTATTCGTTATAGAGAAAACAAAATATTTTTAATAATTAAGTTGAGCTTTACTATTTTACCTGTTCTCGAGCTGATTTGGGCTTAGTACCAGTCTTACTTTTGGATTTTATTCCACGGGAATCTGAAAGCGCAACTACTGAAATTGAAAAGTGAGATATGTATGAATATAATATTGAAAAATGATCTGATGTGATGATGAACGAAGAAAGGATTAAATAAAACTTCTAGTTTAATGTTCATGCATCCTATATTATGAATTAAATTATAATATTACTTTTTCAAAGTCATTTTAAGATACTTAAATATATACTAAAACAATCAATACTTAATAAAAGTACTTATATCAAATAAAAATAATCTCACCAGCACCGTTAGGTTGTAACACGGCTGTGCCCGTTACTGCCGAACTAGTTTCACACAGAAGTCTTGCTTCGGCTTGACCATAAGTATAGACTGGTTTTTGTGGAGTGTGACATGGAGATACAGCCATCAAAGGAGCCGCAGTACAAACCTCCTCAGCTTCCACTTCAACCAATACAGCACCTCGAGTGTGCTCCTCTTCACAGTCGTCTATCCCATCGACCTTAGATATGAATACAATAAATAGTTTTAATAAATTAAAAAACCCTATATTAGTGCACATTCTGTTTTTTTTTTCTTTCTTATAAAATATATAAAAGGATTTTATTTAATTTTTATTTACTCGATACTAACTTCATTATTTAGTTTTAAGGAATACAGTGCAGTTGTTTTATATATTTTGTTTTCACAATATCAGCTATCATATATCAGATACTTACAGATTGTTCTCCTTCATACTCGGAATCAAAATCATCAGCATCGTTAACACTGAGACTTGACGCGTGGAGGCGTTCAGAGGCGCCAGCTGGTGGAGCAACACTGCCGTCTGACTGCGTACGTGTCAGAGTTGTTGGCGTAACCTTGGTTCGTGCACGCGCCGCCCTGAGGAGTGCTGACGTGGATGCTTCCGGAGCTATTCCACGGGACTTTTCCCATTCATGAAGTTTGCGAGTGAAAGAACGGGATATGCCTGGAAAGTAATATTGTTATTGTTAGTATTTCATTGTTTTTGCAAGCTTTTTAATTTTTAAGAGTTCTGATGGGAATAGAACAACACCTTGAAATTTGAAGAGACCAGTGGAGGTTTGTACTAAAACTTCATCCGGCTTTGCTTCTTCTTCCCAAGCTGGTACCGAATTTGTTTCTTTCATACGTTTCCATTCATCTGAAATAGATAAAGATATACTTGATAGAAAATATTAATATTTGAATATAATTGAATCGTTATCCCATATAAAGAAAATAATATTGTATATATTTAAGAGCCTTTAGAAGAATTAGATAAAGACAGTAAGTGTATTATAAAATGCAACTATATCAGTAAAATGTAACTATATCATTTAAATTTATTTCATACAAACTATATGGTTAATTCTGATGAATAAATGGGCTAACTGGCGTGTTTTCATTCTCATAACCTGTCCCCGCCAGTGTATACAAATACCATTTTCATTCAAAAAAAATCTATATCAGTTCAATTCATTCCATACAAACTATACTATATATATATGATAGATATTTGTTACTCTTCCGTGCAGAAACAGGTTTTGTCTATCCTCCAAACTTATTACGTTTATAATAATTGTAATATTTCGTAAGATTACCCCATTTTTTCAAGAAGTCCTCGCTGAGATCTTGCCTGGCCGGCACTGGAGGTGGTTGCTTCACTCCCTTCATTAGCTGCCATTCTGCTAGTTTCTTCTAAAATCTGCCGATAACTGTTCCTCGGTTGCGACAGGTCGTGGCGCTGAAATTTTCGTATTTAGTGGATTTAATTGATAATCTAAATTATAATCATTTTTAATTGTCCAGTGCTGATCATAAGCTTCCCCTCCGGGTTTTGCCAGTAGTTGCCATGCTTGGCTGGCGGATTGGCAGCCGCAGTTGGGTTTTGGAGACGTATTAAGAGGGACGCTGCTGCCTATGCTTTGCCCTTCCTTAGTCGGCTCTTACTACACCCACGGGAAAGGAAGGGGTGGCCACTCTTATTCCTATTCTATGCCGGGACCACACGGCAACTGTAATTATGTACGTTATAAATATAATGAAATTTAATGAGATTTCCAGTCATCATATAAATCTAAGTTAATAATGTTCAGAAGTTGACTAGTTGTAATAAGGAAAAATACATTTAGATTGAATTTTGACAGTAATTGTAAAGTCGAAAAACAAACGAGCTTTAAAATTTGCATTTTGGCGGTTTTTCAGTAAGTCTTTTGAACTAAGAATGCGAATTTTGTGATTACTTATTGAAATTGCATTATATTTATTTATAATTTAAAATAATTTAATTACAATTTCCATTATTTATATTATATTATTATTCATTTTGTTAATATCTTTACTCATATAATGACATTTAATAATATAATTATATTTTAATGTTTATCAAACACAAGGCGTGCTGTGGTTGCCTATAAATGTATAATAAGAACAGTTAAATATTTAATTGTATTGAAATGATTTTGCATCTTATGTTGAAATAAATAAATAAATAAAAAACAGCTAAATTGAAGGCATAAGTGAAAGAATAAAAATAAGATTCCAAACTCAGCAATAGAATCTTAAAAAAACACGATTTAAAAAAGTTTGTAAAATAAGTCTATTTCAATAGCAAATATTTATATTTTGCTAGATTATTTGTGTTGTTATTGTAGATTGTAGATTACTGATTTCACAGGGTACAGAGGAATAACACTTGAGTCCTCAGGAATGGCAACGCATGGGGGGTATCATTGGCGAAACAGTATACTCTGTTATGTCCATGGTAGTGCTCATGTCTATAGGTAACGGTTACTACTTACCATCAGGTAGGCCGTCAGTTTGTTTGCCATTCTGAGTAGCATAAAAAATAAATATTGCTGGTCTATCGCTTACCGAAAAATATTTTTTTGACAAATGGCAAAATGTGTTATAACTTACTGTTGTGAACAATTGGATAATTACCCGCTTAAATTTATGTAAAATTTACAACTGATCACAATATGTCTTAGTGTAAATACTTAACTTACTTAGTTTTTTTTTGTAAGAATAAGCAAACTACTTGTTAAACTTACAAGAGTATAATTTGCCCCGCCTATCAGAGAATTCCCTTCGCAGACGCGATTGCAGCGCGGCGTAGTCTCTGGCGATTTCTTCACGAACCCCGCTCGCTTCGCATCCACTGCTCAGACCTTCTGTTTCTGAAATGGTATAGATGTTTCAAAATAAGTATTATAATAATACTTACTAATATAAATAGACACTGTTAATTGCTTCTTTCAAAATATTAAAGTAAATTAAGCTAAAACAAAAAAAAAAAAAAGGAAATCAGTAAGACATCACTATTTATTATCAAGGTCATAAGTTTTTTTTTTTTGTTAAAAATGGTATGGTAACCCCGCCTGCGCTAACGGGATACGCTGGCGAAGCACCAGTGAAGGGTTATAGATGAGAATGAAAACAGGCTAGTTAGCCCATCATGATGAATTCATCAGGAATTAACCATGATAGTTTCCAGGGGGAACCGCGAGGAGGTGGACCTGGTTGGGTATATTGCTAGTAATGAGATTCTCAGTCTCCATTACTAACAATCCCTTTCCCCCCAAGTCATCAGTATTGATATCCTTACTTATCATCATCATCATCATCATCATCATCATCATCATCATCATATCATATTAGCCGTTAACTGTCCACTGCTGAACACAGACCTACTCTTAATTGCTTGGTCAGTAGTTGCCACGCTTGGCAGGTAGGTTGGCAACCGCAGTTCGATTTCGGTGGTTTAAAAACGGATCCTTACTAATATCACATTATAAAGAACTACGTATGTATAATAATATTATCAGTATGAAAGTAGGTTTATTTGTCATCTCTTAGGTATCTGAGGTAAGAAACACATTTGTTCACAGGAGCGGCAAGAAGCGAGGATTAACACGAAAAGTATGGAATACTCTGTGATATTAATGGGTTTTAATTTATGCCTTCAATTTAGTTCTAGGGGAAAGAGTTATAGAAAATTTAAGATAATTTAAGACTAACAATTATTCGCGACTTTGTCTGAGATCAGTATTGTTGATTGATTAAGATAAATAAAAGTCTATGACTTTCTCCATCTCAAATAATACGTGTTTCCCAAATTTCATAACGATTGTTTGAAATGTTAAAGCGTCTTTGCCAGTGGATTTCACGCTCGGTGGGTTGGCAACCGCAGTTTGGCTTTGGTGATGTTATGAAAGAATGAAAGAGGAACCATGCTATACATCTCTCGACAATTAGGTACCCTTAGTCGTGGTAGGGGTGGTCCATTCTATGACGGGACCACACGACGCTAACTAGTTTCATTCCTTTTCAGAAAATGCAGTCCCGCTACTAATGTTTATTCGCAAATTATCGAAATTCTATCAAACTATTATGTAAACATGTTGAGTGCCATAAGTAAGGGGAAAAGACTTGTGATTTAAAAAAAGCAACTGTTTTTCGTGATACATTTTTTATTTATTTTTTTACTAACCATTAAAAATAAATTAAGCGAAAATGGTAACCATTGCTTATAGAATATTAAAAAAATCACAAATATGATTATGTATCTCAATCCATTACAGTTTTAATTAAATATTGTTCTAACTTAATACGTTAACTTTCTAGTTTTCAGATACGTACATGTACTTGGCTAGAGTTCTAGAATGTCGCATATCGTGTCAGAGACAGATTCAGGTAATGGCGTATATTTGTAACATGTTGGAAATGTATTTAAATCGTGGTTAGGGACAGTACTAATTTGGAACAGTATTAAGGTTTTTTTCTATCATTGCTAAAGGGATTATTGTTTTACAAAATTTTTGTTTTTATGCAATTTAGAAAAATTGACAGCCTACTTGATAGAAAGTAGTAACTATCGCTAAATTTATTTATATTATTATTTAGATTTGGTAACAAAATTCACATCTCCCCTCTTAAGGAGAGGGGAAATAGCAAATATCAAATTGACTCCTGGTAAAAGCACAGTCGGCCGATATTCAGGGTCCCAGTGAGAGAAACCGGCGTACTATGCAGGCAGTGTTTAAGAGCACCGCTTTCTGCATCTTTTCCGGGAGTGAGTCGCCTCGGAATCCCTTTGATCATTGATCGCACGGTGTAGGTAATTCATGTCGTGTGCATCGTAAAATTTCAAATACATTGCGCGGCGTCAAACTAAGAATCGTTAATTATATGACCATGGTGCATTTCCGATGGGGAAATAATCTGCCATCTGATCAAACAATTCATCTGTATTAGCTGTTTTCATTTTGGCCCACCTGTCCCTTCCACTCTGTATAAGAATTACTGTGAAATTATAGTTGTTATATTTATTTCAGTTTATTAAAAGCAGTGACTACGACACAAGGGATGAATTAGCTTTACAAATAGGCTATAATATTAACGATGCTAAACAAGAAATAAATAATAAAAGAGACCATTTTTCTTCCGTAATACAACCTGAAACATCTAGAAGAAAATCAATAGTGTATGAAAAAAGACAAGTTGAACTAGATAGAAGTGAAAGTCAAATTGTAGAACTTGATTAAAAATCTGGTAATGTTAAAATAAAAGATAAAGTAGAAAATAATTTGGATAAACAAGAAAAAAATATTAGGCTTGAAAATGAGATTGTAAATGAACGATTGCCCATAGAACAAATGTTGATCGCCTCAGATGAAACTTTGGAAGCTAATGATGAATCTACAAATGCATTAAACACCTGCTCTAAATGTGTTGAAAATGGAAGAATTTGTATTGCCAAGTGTCCTAAGGCGAGAAACAATAAAATGTTACTAAATAATTACATTTTTTTTTTGTAGAGTACCATTATGAAGTGATAATATTTGTTATCGACTTCGTATATAGTGTATTCGTATATGATTTTTTTAGAAAAATGAAAAAATTGAATAAATAAAACTAATTTTTTATTCTTTTTACGGGTATATTTAGGTGGAAATTTAATTATCTAGCTAATCAGCCTGCACAAACCTATTATTGAGAATAACTCCTTTTTACCATGCCACTTGTAACAGTCGTGTGCTAATCTCATCCACTGCTTCCATGTTGTCCACGCTATGGCATTCTATCCTCGAGTTAGATATTATATTGATTATTACTGGTACTCTATCACTGTTTTGAGCACCATTCTGTTATTATTATCATAATATCCGCTGATGAACATAAGTCTCCATCTAGAGGGGTTTTACCAGCAATTGCCACGCTTGGCAAGCAGATTGGCAACCTCAATTAGGCTTTGGAAAAGTATTGTGGGGGACGCTGCTGCCTATCCCTCGCTTTCGCTTAGTCGCCTCTTACAACACCTACGGGAAAGATTTGGGTGGCCTATTTTATGCTGGTATAGTTTTGGTATAATTTGAAATTAAAGTATGGGTAGGTAAATAAAAAAAGTGAAATATTTATAAAATTTGCAATTGAAATAAATCGAAATGTAGTGAAAGAGGTTAGGATTCCTTGATATGTATCTGACTTTGATAGTAAACGTCAGTTAATATTTAGTTCACCCATACCGCCTGTAAAACACCTATAAAAAAATTGCTGTGTAATAATTCGAAACAAAACAGTAATAAAAAAAGATCAAACACATCAGAGGAAATGTTTGCAAATTATGTATTTTGTATAAATTTTCCAGTAATTTTTTTCTGCCTATAGAAACATGCCTACTGGTAACAGTATTTACTATTTCTTGTTATTAAGTATTTTTTTAAAGTGTACTTAACACTAGGTAACCGCGCTCTTAGCTCCAAGATACAGATCTGACCTAGTTCGGGGACTGATGGTTATGCAGAATTTTCGTAATGTAGCTTGATATAAGATCTAAGTAATATTTCTTTCTTTTTTGTCTGTTATTTCTTTTTTGGTAATTAACACATTTTAAATCAATAGATATAATATTAAATTAGCTGTTCGTCGTCGATCTGGTCATTATCCATCAAAAAAATTTGCTGGAAAAGTCCTTGTCGCCCCATTCTCAAACTTGTGATACCATCGATGATGTGCAACATTTTCTATTAGAGTGCCGTATTAACACGAAGCAAAGAGAAGAAGTCATTCAATCCATATTAGCTGAACCTAAACCAGAAATTTTCAAAACATTAGTGTAAATTATTGATGCCCATTAATTCTCTCTTTCCGCGTCTAGGGAAACTAGGTAAAGTTTTATTTGAGAAATCAGTTCAGAGTACGATAAGACTGATATACTTGAAGAAGGTATAATTGCCCTTAAAATAATAATAATAATAAAAAAATATTTATATACTTTTGGTTTTGTATTATCTTCATAAATAAATGTCCGAGTGTCCGAGTGTCTGAGTGTCTGAGTGTCGGAGTGTCGGAGTGTCTGAATGTCCAAGTGTATGAGTGTCTGAGTGTCCAAGTGTCTGAGTGTCTGAGTGTCGGAGTGTCTGAGTGTCTGAGTGTCTGAGTGTCGGAGTGACTGAGTGTCTGAGTGTCTGAGTGTCTGAGTGTCTGAGTGTCTGAGTGTCTGTGTGTCTGAGTGTCTGAGTGTCCAAGTGTCTGAGTGTCTGAGTTTCCGAGTGTCTGAGTGTCGGAGTGTCTGAGTGTCCAAGTGTCTGAGTGTCTGAGTGTCGGAGTGTCCGAGTATCTGAGTGTCGGAGTGACTGAGTGTCTGAGTGTCTGAGTGTCCGAATGTCTAAGTGTCGGAGTGTCTGAGTGTCTGAGTGTCCGAGTGTCTGAGTGTCCGAGTGTCTGAGTGTCTGAGTGTCTGAGTGTCTGAGTGTCTGAGTGTCTGAGTGTCCGAATGTCTAAGTGTCGGAGTGTCTGAGTGTCGGAGTGTCGGAGTGTCTGAGTGTCCAAGTGTACAAGTGTCTGAGTGTCTGAGTGTCTGAGTGTCTGAGTGTCGGAGTGTCTGAGTGTCGGAGTGTCTGAATGTCCGGAAGTGTATGAGTGTCTGAGTGTCCAAGTGTCTGAGTGTCTAAGTGTCCGAATGTCTAAGTGTCGGAGTGTCTGAGTGTTTGAGTGTCCGAGTGTCTGAGTGTCGGAGTGACTGAGTATCTGAGTGTCCGAATGTCTAAGTGTCGGAGTGTCTGAGTGTCGGAGTGTCTGAATGTCCAAGTGTCTGAGTGTATGAGTGTCGGAGTGTCCGAGTGTCTGAGTGTCGGAATGTCTGAATGTCCAAGTGTATGAGTGTCTGAGTGTCTGA